CCCTGCACGCTCCAAAAAAAATAGGCAGTTTACATTCTCTAGATGTATCTTGGCCCTCCTTCAAATAGGATCAGTGTCAGTGTTTAAGCCTTACAGTATAGAAATGGGACTAAATCCTTACAAATTCGATTAAATGCTGTTGGCTGTCAGAATGAGATGTGGAAAAGGGTTTATCTAGGAATTCCCTAGGATATAGGGTTTAACTGGGAATACCCTGGGATATAGGGAAGAGTGTTTAACTGGAAACATACTGACCACAAACAACTCCAGCTTAACTGTTTAACTACTTACCAGTTACTAATCTGAATTTGGGCCTTTTTTCCTTCACTACAGCCACTTCGTTAGAAACACATGTGTTTAGCATTAAATTCAGATTAACATGCATCTGCTCATGTTCTACCCCATGCGATGTTCTTTTTTTTTTAAATGCCCAGCATTTGCAGGTAAAGTCGTTAACATTTTATCTGAAGAGGCTGGGGCGTGCTGTGCCATTTTAGTAGCTGCTCACATCCTCGCTAGGTGGTTAGTGTGCCGATCAGAAAGGCAAATGTTAGCTGACTCATATTTTCACAAACAAATACATTTAAAAATGGGAAAGACTGAGATATTTCCTCAGTGCCCCCTTCCGCTGTTGTTCTGGCTGTTTTTAGCATAGACAGAGAAAAGGAAATACAAAGACACAGTAGATAACATAGCGTAAACTACTAACAGTGCTAACACACTGCGGAGTTGCCAACTTTGGACAGCTAGCTAGAGTGAGATTTTTAATTTTTAATTCACATGCACACACATTTACATGTGTGCAACAGTTTTATTACTCTGTAAATAGTTTGTACGGTTTGCAAAATACCCCAATGTTTTAGATGTAGCAAATTTTAGATTTATAATGTAATAATATCGATTTGCTGTAATATTTCTTGCCTGAGAATGAGAGCCTGAGCGTGTGAGCGTCAGGCCAGATGCACGAGAGCCAGCAACCCTCAAACTGAGGTGTCATAGTTCTGTGACACCAATGTCACTTTGAAGTGGTGATTTCAGAGCCCTTTGGTGTCATCCAGGGGGTGGCTCTCTACGTCTGCCCATTTTCCAGGATTCAGAACCTGGTCCATCATTAACTGGAAAATCAGGAAGTGAAATCCACTGAAATCTCCTCACCATACTGACCAGGGGAGGAACACTTGACAGGGATGCAACAATAAATATTGAATGTTAAAAAAACATGTTGAATAATGGATTTAAAATCAATAGATTATGGGAAGACCACTTTACCAATCAAAACTGTTCCCAGAATTAAATTCTAATGGTACTGAAGCATTTCTAGTTCAGTACCTGAGTACACATCCAAAAGGAACCTTCCTACTCCAAAAGCTAAATTTGACTGCTCAAAATGCTACAACTGCAGTGTGTAATGAGCTTGTAACGACACACAATGAGAAAAAACTCCCATCCACTTGTTCTTGCTGAAATTAGCACTCGCGCCGTGGATGTGGATGGGTTTTACAGCCCAACCGTCCCTAAAAACAACACAAAAAATAGCTCATTTGCATTCAAGGACACATTTCCGCTCTTCGGCAAACTAGACGTATCTGTTTTTCACAATAGAACATCAAGATGAATAAATGTCAGAATGAAAGCGAGTGCATTATTTCTAAAGCGTTTGTTTTACACTTGAGACAATTGAAACCCTACCATATTTTCCATTCGGGGTAAAAACATGGATGGACCATTGCCTAAAAGATTAGGTAGCGTTAAAAAAAAGGACATTTTGATATTTCCCATGTAGGTCTGAGAGAGGATATGGAACAGGAAGGCTGTAGCTACCCATAATGCCACTGTGGCGTCTGGTGCAGCGTGATTGAAGGTTTAGTATTCCCTAGCAGGGCACCATTCCAGCTGTGTTATTAGACTCTGGGCCAGACGTGTCAAAGTGGAGATGAACGCATCAGAGGCTGGAGGTGTGACAGAGTCAAGGACCTCTGAGGTAAACCACATGTCTGTTGGGCCCGTGAGCAAGGTTCTTAACCCCCCGAAATGCTCCAGGGACGCTGAAAAAATGGCCTGACCCTGCGCTCAAACTCCGAGCTCCACTCTCGACTGTTCATATGTTTGTACAAGTCTCAAAGGAGATCAAGATGGAATATGCATAAAGAATTGCTATGTGCCTGTACTTGTGCAAAAGGCAAATAAAACATTTTCATTTTTAAAAGTCCTATTATCCACAAGAAACAAAAATATTAAAAGAACAGTAATTAAAAACATATATGTAATCATTATATTATTAGATTGGTCAGCAGCAGATTTTCCTAAGTGGTTGTATGTCTTCTCTATGTCGCCCCCTACAGGCGGTTGGTGGACACGGAAGATGAGCTCAGCGACATCCAGTCAGACTCAGTGCCGTCGGAGGTGCGGGACTGGCTGGCGTCCACCTTCACAAGGCAGATGGGCCTGATGCTGCGGCGGACGGAGGAGAAGCCCCGTTTCCGCAGCATTGTGCATGCCGTGCAGGCTGGGATATTCGTGGAGAGGTAGCTGTTTGGAGCAGATGCCAAAGACGAGCGTTGTCAGTATATGAGATGCAAAAAGATGCTAAGTTAGAGTCCAGCTGATCAGTAGCTGCTCACCAAGAGTTCTCATACCCAACATCATTCTTTGGAGGATAAAGTCCGGCCTATAAGCTACTACTAATTGTTAGTGTTTCTTTCTTTGGCTAATTTCACCCCTGTTCCTTCTTGACTGTGGCTTCTCTTGGTTAAAATCCATGCCACCACCACCAAATGCTCCTTCTCATATGACAATATGGCTTAAATGGCTCTGGACTTAATCTGCATTCTGTAAAGAACATGAATGCAGTCAGTCACTTCATCTGGTGCGCGTGACGCATAAAGGTTAAGAAGGGTCTCTTTTCTAGTATGTCCCAGCACCCAGCCTGCTTGTCTAATGAGATCTCTATCGAGACGGTCAGTGGGGAATGGGATGGGGGGCTTGGAAAAGTGACAGAAACACATTTATTACAGACCTGTGCTGGAAGTCACGTCTGAAATCAGAGGGTTACAGGTTAGAAAACTGAGTTATGTGTCAGAAAACAGAACTGTATTTATTGTTAACCACGGCAGCTGGTAGCCGGACTCTGTGCAAGATACTGGACCCATAGAAACTGAAAGACATTTATTTTATTCCTATTATTTGGTCAGTGACTTCTGGACAAGTGTTCATTGACAGATGGCCTTTAAATTAATGCTTGTACCAGGATTTGAACATGTGGGCCTTGTAATTTATCAACTGATACCTTTTTTTTTTAGTGATGTTATAGCAACGGGCAAATTTCAGTGTATTTGTTATTCCTGCCAATGGAAGCCAACCCTCCTTCACGTGATTTGTACATAATTTGGATGATTTGCATATGAAGTCTCTTGATTTCTCAAAGGGAACTAAGGATAGAAATTATGTCAGGTTAATAAGAGCACTGTCTTTCATTGATGTCTTTTTAAGACCCCTTATTATGTGTGCCTACAGTACCTAATGTGTGAGTTTATTGCTTTTTGCTACAGCTCTGCTCTGTTTCCTTTTCGTGTGAAGTTGTTTGTTGGTATGAGGATATTATCCACATTTTAACATGTACAATGTTCTCATACATAAATCACACAAAGGAGCCAACCAATCAGGGTTGGTGCCATTCCGGAACGCATTCATCAATTCCAATCCAAATCAGGAAATGGTAATGGAGTTTTGATTGGAAAAAAAAACACTGTAGGGATCAGAATTGGAATTCAATTTGCATTTCGGGGAGATTTAAATTCCAACTCCAATTCCATTCCCTGATTTGGATTGGAATTGATGACTGCATTCCGGAATGCTCCCAACCCTGCAACCAATGACGTATTTTAAATTGAACTCCTAACAGTGGTATGTTATCTCCCAATAACAGGATGTACCGCCGGACCTCAAACATGGTTGGATTAAGCTACCCACCAAGCGTGATCGCTGCTCTCAAGGTAGTGACACATGACAACTGTCATTTGGGATGAACGGGGTTATAATGTGGGTGGTCAAGGAGGCGGAGTTACTGGGTGAAAAGACAAATGTATATTTTAGAGATATTTATGATCTTGGGGTGCTTGTTTAATTCTGTGAAGATGTTGCAAACATATTTGTTTTGTAACGAAAGTCCATTGACAGTGTTTAACATATCTGCACATATCTTCTGCACAGAGATTCTGTTTTTACTGCCATATATATTTTTTGACTGATTAATTCAGTTCTGTTCTTTCCAATTTGCTGTTAACTGCAATTGTAAGCATTGACTCCCAGAGGAAGGCGAAACACAAATGTTTGGTGTTTTAGTTTATTGCCCTGGTGTTACTAATTAAAAATCACCCAATGAGAACACTTTTCAATGAACTTTATAATTCAGAGCAGCCCTTTTAGAAATATTATTTGGGTTTCAGTGTATTACTATTTCAACTGAATGTTTTGCTTAAAACTACTGGTTGTTTCTAATGTTATATATATATATATATATATATATATATATATAGATACAAACACACATATATATAATTCTTCTTCACTTTCATATTTTTTATCAATGGTACACATAGATATTTTATAAACTACCTACTATGCTATTATTTTCTGTTTTTGATTTCCTTTTCTTTTTTGCAGCATCTGGAGTGAAAAATAATAATTTCACACCGTACTTCACATTCACATTAGCAGAGACAGATAGAAAGGAACCATGGATAAATCTATGCAAGCAGCTGTCATCTAAGCGTCCTGCAGGGCTTCCTCATGCTATCCGCTCTGACATCAACGCGTAGAACGACGAATCAGTAAAATCGCAGAATATTCATATAATCAGAGCATAACCGGTGCGGAACATAAATAATATTTATGGAGGGTTTTGAAAAGCTGGAGACAAGTCTGGGTGGCTGAAAGGCATGTATCTGACACAACTGGCAATGCGCACGTTTTTAAAAATTGGGTATTAGCCCCAAAATGAGTAGGAAATAAGAATTAATTATTAAATTAAATATCAAATCCGGAGGAAGGTTCAATCAGCCTTGCTCTTGTTCCTCTAATAAATGGCTCAAGTATCTTTGAAAGAACTATTTTTGGTTTAATGATTAATGCAAGAATGGGGGAGGTTTCAATTCACTTGAAAGGAGCTGCTATTTACTCACTGGTCGCCTCCCCATCATTGAGCAAGATGCTGCTAATAGGAGTTAATGGGGATGTGGACTTCTATGCCCCCCCCACCCAGAAAGACAGCCATCATGCACGACCGCAACAGACAGCAGGTATTGGCATCCAATTGAAAAGTTTAAATCATTAATATGTCGTTAATCATATGCTCATACTCACCAAGTGAAGTTATCAGAGGAAAATATATATCGGATTTGCCCTTAGGGATGGAAAGGAACAGTGCAGTAAATCAGCCGGAGCCGTGGCCTTTACCAATCCACATTATTGAAGGATTTATTTAGCTACTGACTCCAGATCTCGCTCGAACAAAGTGGGCTTTATCGCTGCTTTAGTTGCCAGGTTCCACAACTCTGTCTGTCTCACTCTTGTTTTGAGTTGTTTTTACACTAATGAAGATCTATTAAAAAATGTTTCCCTCCTGCCTTCAGAACGTGGACCTGTGGTCGTTCGACGTCTTCGTCCTAAACGAAGCCAGCACAGATCATGCCCTGAAATTTATATTCTACGAGCTCCTCACCAGATATGACCTGATCAACCGCTTCAAGGTATGGAGCTCAAAATCCAGTGAAATGTTACATGCTACATTTACTGGCATGCTTCATTTGTTAGACAACACGTGTTTTTAAGCATGCTACATTTATTAGCATGCTGTGTGCACTAGTATGCAGTATTCATTAGCATGCTGTGTTTATTACCATGCTACTTTCACTAGCCTCCTCCCTTTATTAGTACGTACATAAATCAACTTTCCTTGGGTCAATTTTTTTAACACATTTTTTTTATCTCTTTACGTTCTAACATCTAGAGGCCTAGGCAGTGATTAGTGTCTTGGTTCTGCTCAACCCTTCTTTCCCTGTTATTTGTCCTTTTTCAGATCCCTATATCTGCACTGGTGTCATTTGTTGAAGCCCTAGAGGTGGGCTACAGCAAACACAAGAACCCCTACCACAACTTGATGCACGCCGCGGACGTCACACAGACGGTCCACTACCTCCTCCTGAAGACCGGGATGGTGGTGAGGGCCATGTAGGAATGACTGGCTTGGGTCTCGACATACCATCAGCTTAAGCCTCACTCGAGTTTAACACCCTGCTAGCTCTGAGAAACTCTCATATCCTGAGCCTCCAAATATCGCCTTCATGTCTCAGTGTTCTCCAGGGACAAGCTAATAAACAGCTCGGGTTTGACCGCACCCCCCAGGAGGATGTGTCAGCCCAGGATCCCTCCATTAATGCCATCACTTCGCTAACATCTCATTCATCTTGCACCCCATGCACACGAAGGACCAAGACAAAACACTGGGGACACTAAGCAGCAAATCCGAGGCTCCAAGGTCTCTGTCAGTACTGTGACCCCTTGTGGGGTATTTGCACTGTCCTCAGGGGGACCACTGAGCTGAACTGGGGTAGATGTTGTTCAAAAGTGGACAAATCAGAAAGAGCAGAATCCAAACCCTAGACTATTTGTAGAATTGCTGAAGATGCACCACAGTTTGAACTTCCTGATGTATAATAAAGTTAGCATTTAGTTTAAGGCTGTTTCAGTAGGTAACAAATGTGACACAGTGGATAAACCCCAATCCAGAAGCAGGACTTTTGGGATCCTTTTGGAAAAACACTAACCAGCCCGTCTATACAACTTACCCAGCAGCCCAGGGGTAAAATAATGTCCCATAACAGACTTGTTAGTGGTAATCTTGCCAATGCCTTTCTCTAATTTTCACCTAGTTCCCAGTACTTTTATGACCTTGACTGTTGCCCAGCCACTCATCCATCAAATTATATCAATTTCTAAGCATGTGAAGATATATATAGATTTGTCATGGCAGATATTTATTTTGCGTGTAGCCTTATCGATTACCTCTCTTGGTGACGATAAAGACAATCTCACAGGGACACCAATGGGCGTCAACCTCTCGTCCTCGAAGATACCTCTCCTATTTCTCTTCCTCTCCATTCTGTAATGGTTGCTGGACGTTCATTATTGTCTCATTAATCAGGTGAGACTCACTTCCAGTCACCACATTTTTGTTCTCGACCGTCGGAAACTGAGTTCTGAAAAGCTTTAAACAAACAATTTAACGTTATTGTAAAAATTGTAAACATTAATATGAGCGATGTAACTTAGAAGGACACGCAACATCGTGTCTCTTCAAAGGACCTCATCCCACTGCCATAAATCAACCTCATTTATAGAGAAATGACCTGTGGTTAAATTAAATATAAATGGCCTTGATGGATTTCTGTGATCGGCATTTATTTAATGCACGTCACCATCAAACATATTGGAGAAAAAAAACAGACAGGCCTATTAAAACAAAACCTATTAGTTTAGCACTCATTAAATTCCTCCACATTCAGGCTCAGAGACTTGCCTATTCACGCAGCGTGTAAATAACTCATCCCGGATGATGGGAAAGCAATGATGAGTCAACTCAGGATTCTTAATCAGTGCTTTGCAGCGGATTCAGGGGGGAAGGGGAATGCTTTCTGTTAATTAAACCGTCAAAAGTGTCACGTTTGACAGAGTCAAGTAATCTCCCACTGGTAGGTCTGTCTCATTCCCCTCACATGCAGAAAAACACCAGCAAAATACCCTGGAGATACTGCCCGTGGTGGTACAATGAAATACAGGTCAGAATTACAAAGCTCCCTACCTGAATTACAATGTTAGAATTATAATATTACCAGCCTAAATTACAGTATTAAAATATGTTGACTGCCTGACTCACAAAGCTGGAATTAGTTTTCCTGAATAACAGCATGACCAATACCTTAATTACAATTAAGGTACAAATACGTACCTTAATTACAGCAAACACCACAGTAATTAAAAGTGACAAATAGCATTGCAGAAATAGGATTCAGAAGATGAGTGGATTTTAATGAATACCTGTATGTGTGTTCTGGAAGGATGAGGAGAATGAAGGGATGAGAAGATCAGAGTGGTAATCCGGTGCGTTTGAGGTGAAAATGGGTTTGAGGGAGAGTAGGGAGCCACAGTGCTCTGTAGGTGCCAGCTTCAGCTTCAGCTGATATGAACCAGACGGGAAGGACAAAGAAACCAGGTTCCTGTTCAAGCTTTAAAGCTGAAGCTAGGTGTTCCAACAATACTTACGTATCTTATCGAAAACACAGTCATCCTGGCTGGTCTGCTGACACTCAGAACCCAGGGCATCTACAGTCGACCAAACCGGCCATTCACTCACGTCGGATACAATCCCAGACACTGGAATTTCTGGAGATTTCTGGGAAATAAAGATCAGTGGCAGTGGCACTCTAGTGAAGGCGTGCATGCCCGCACATCTCTACCACATGCGGCACTGGCTGTGAATCACGTCAGAAGAGGCTGGATAACAAACAAGCAGGCTGACTTAGAGGAAGTGAAAAAGGAGGATGAGAAAGAAAGAGAGAAAAAAGCTCACAGAAGCTCACAGATATGGAAACAGCCAATCAGCAGATCAAAGAACCTCAGACCAGCCAATTCATCCGCTTAGAGTGACTGTTAGCCTTTAAGGGTGGGGATAACAAGGATCACCACGCTGATACAAAGTGGCACTTCTTTATAAAAAAGTGTCAAAGTGCCAGTTCTTTAAAAGCTCTCTAAATTATATAACAGGAAGCTAGAGTTGATGCACAGTATATCTTCTGTGCAGTATCTATAACAGAATTTAAAAGGAGAAATTGGCAGACTCTTTCTTTAACCCTGTTTTCTGCATTTTTTCCAATCTTCTCCTGCTCCCCATCCATTCAGCACTGGTTGACCGAGTTGGAGATCTTTGCCATGATCTTTGCGGCCGCTGTTCATGACTACGAGCACACAGGCACCACCAATAACTTCCACATACAGACCAGGTGACAGTCTGCCTGCCCGTTTAGACACGTCTTCACTCCATATCCAGTACAAAGTCAAAGTGTGGTTAACATTAGGGACATGTTCTCCTACTTGATTCACAAACATCCTCACCAAAAAAACACGCTCTCTCCCCGCTCAGGTCAGACACAGCCATCTTGTACAACGACAGGGCCGTACTAGAGAACCACCACGTCAGTGCTGCCTACCGCCTTCTACAGGACGATGATGAGATGAACATCTTGTACAACTTGTCGAAAGACGATTGGAGGTGAGAAACTGAGGTGTATGGTGGACCTGTTTGTCTAGAACTCCTAACTGAGCCAAGTCCAGAATATACAGTAGGTCTAGACCTCCTTAGAGAACCAAGTCCAGAGCATACAGCAGGTCTGGACCTCCTTATAGAACCAAGTCCAGAATATACAGCAGGTCCAGACCTCCTTACAGAACCAAGTCCACAATATACAGCAGGTCCAGACCTCCTTACAGAACCAAGCCCAGAACATACAGCAGGTCTAGACCTCCTTATGAATCCAAGTCCAGAACACACAGCAGTTTATTGATAGACGGTGATTCTGCTGGTGGACTGGCCTCTTGAAGCAGAAATGGACTTGACCTCTTTCTGCACTGCGTCCACAGGGAGCTGAGAGCCCTAGTGGTGGAGATGGTATTGGCCACAGACATGTCTTGTCACTTCCAACAGATTAAAGCCATGAAAAACTTCCTACAGCAGCCGGAAGGGTGAGCCACACATTGGCCTACATTGAGATTTATTCGGTGGCTTCTGGTGCAACCTAGTGAGAATATAGATTTATTTTGCAGTTGAGGCTGCTTAATACTGCGTTACTGTCTGTAAATTTACATGCCTGGAATTTACTAGCGCTTTTCCTGCACTTTTTAAATATGATGTGTTCACTGTGAAAGTTTGATTAAGATTTTACCATGAATGGCCTCGTTACCTCAGTATGGGACAGAACTGCTTGACTTAACTGCCCAAAGCATCTGTTTGACACATGTGAATGAATGGCTAGAAGGGAGGGAGGTGAGGAGACAGTAAGGGGAGGAGACTGACTCCCATTGGTGGGCAAGAAACCAGACCGATACACCAAAATGAGGGGGGCATCAGCGTGTCTGTCTCAAGAAACATGACGTGCGTCTGCAGGATCGACAAGCCCAAAGCCTTATCCCTCCTGCTGCATACAGCAGACATCAGCCATCCTGCCAAGAAGTGGGAGCTGCACCACCGCTGGACCACCTCCCTTCTGGAGGAGTTCTTCAGGCAGGTGAGGCCTGCCCCCCCCCCAACCCCTTCACAATGATATACTGTAAACACCATGTTAATCGCTCACTCATTGCACCAAGTAAAATAATCCACTGGCTCCGACTGAAAGCTGATTGGCCTCCTTCCCTGTCACTCACTTATTCAAAACCTCCTCATTGGTGGAATATGGGATCGTGACCGTGACTTAATATCAAGTGACTGACGGTTGCTGTGGGTCATCACTCATGCATTTCTGCAAAGTCATCCCCCAAAGACAGGCTGGGATGCCATTTGTAATATATGCCAAGGCACATTCTCCATTTTCCCTGAAAGTCTAATCCCATTCCAACTAAACGCCACAATTCATCTCCACGGTGTTCAGTTCTGCACCCCCTCCCCCACACACCACTCTCCACTGTCCCTCTCCCACCCAGTCGGCTTTGTGTAATCTGCACTAAATGGCTGCAAGAGGTCCCACGAGGGATCAATACATCATTCGACTGCTGATGTTTTTATGTCTTTTGTTTTTTAAATAATGTGTAGATTTCCACCAATTAGGTCCATTCCATGTGCAAGCTTTCCCGGGGGGTGGGGGTGATCGTAAATGTGTATCCTGGTGCAGCCCTCGCTTTCTCCATCACAGGCGGGATGCCCCCCCCTCACCGTGGGCAGCCGATAATGGTGTGAGTCGTGGCTGCCAGTTGTCACGCCGACAAACAGAGTGATTCATAAATTCAAATGAGGCAGGAGCCACGGCCGCAGGCCTCAGCCTCCGGGGGGCGCTCACGCTCATTCTCACACACGTGGGCCTCACGCCGCTGTCACGAGGGAAGGTGTGAGAGAGTGAGTGCGAGAGAGAAAGAAGAGCATGAAAACAGAAACATCATGCTATCTAACAGCGTACTGTTATACCTGTACTGACAGACGCCACAACACACAATACTCCACACTCATACTCATACTTGCTTGTATTTCTTTCTTCTGCGGCATAATTATTAATGTTCATCTCCGTGTATTTTCTGGGTTCCCTGTATGTCATTTACTTTATTTATCCATTGTATTTGCTATATAGTATGGTACCTCAGGACTCCACATTGCGTCCAGTTCGTGAATAATGCTAGGGTCTCTCTCTCTTTCATCAGGGAGACAAAGAAGCCGAACTGGGGCTACCGTTCTCTCCGCTGTGCGACCGCAAATCGACCATGGTGGCCCAGTCTCAGATCGGTCAGTTCTTTGGTTGTGTTTGTACTGTATGACCACAAGTCGACCAATACATGGGTTTTTTACTTTTCCGCTGTATGTCCACAACCACATAGGAGAGATCCAACCTCAGCCATCAACTTTAAGCTTTAACTGGGTTAATGATTTCACATTCCTTGTTTCTGCTGTACAACCACTAGATGACCAGATTTGTGAGCCCAACCTATAAGAAACATCTTTAGCCCTCGGGTCTAACATTCACCCAGACCGCCTGCCTTCACAATGAGGTGCATTTTCTTTTTTGTTGATCCCAAGGGCTCAAAGTTTGTACTTTCAAACCAGCCAAGCTCTCAATTACTAATGAATCCAGTACTTTTGGCAAATACATTACAGCACTTGCACTTCAATTATGGGGTAACTATCTATCACATGACAGTGCAGGTAGACCCTTTAAATGGGGTTAATGGTTTAATGTGTTTTTTTGCCAATCTCAAAGAGATGCCTGATAAACGATGATGAGACTATGGGTGTTTATCAATATGCGTACTTGTGTTCTTGTGTATCCACTTTACATTGTCTTCCATTGCTGAAGACCATTTCCGATACGCAAAAAGAGAAGTACAGAGGATGGTTAAAAATCCCTGGATATCGTTCTTGCCCCAGTCCCAAATATCAAGGATACATCAGCTGCATCCTCACCAAACAAGATCAATCCCATGATTCTTTGCACCCCAAGTTCATTCTTGAGAGGCAAGTTAGCAAGTATGATTATTGCGTTATTGGTATTAAGAAACACCCTATAACTTTGCGTCCGTCTCGCCTTGTTTTTAAACGGTTTGCCCTTTAAGAAGGGTAATCACTGAGCTGTTGATTAGCTCATTTGCACGTTGCATCTAAAAAGGTTAAAATGACAGCCGCACACTCCCGCCGGAATACAAACTACGGCTCCAGAGCTCTGGCGAGGCAGAGGGAAAGGATTCTGAGCCTCCTGGGTCATCTGTTGGCTCCAGGGTTCATTGACTTCATTGTGGAGCCCACATTCACTGTGCTGACTGACATGACGGAGAAGATCATGACGCCACTCATCGATGACGCCTCCCGCTCCGGCCTCACGGGCTTCCGGCGCTCTAGGTGAGGACTTCCTATCATGTGACTTCCTACTTCCTGTCCCACTTCCTGTCACAAAGTGTCGCTACTCACACCTAATGTAAAGTAATGGAGACACAAATGATAGCGTTCTCCTTCCTTCATTTGATTTGAACCTCTCAGTTTCCTAAGCAGCCACAGAAGCTCACGTTGCTGGGTCACATTAGCCAGTCATGTCATTGTCATCTACGCCTGATACGCATCTATCATTTTTTTCGTCCCTTTTTTCATCTCGCTGCTGCATAAGCATGGAATCCAGCTAAACGAAGTGATAAAATTCCCCCCACAGAATGTTTCTGGGAATGTTCCCGGCAACGTGACACACATGCAAATCCATTGTGTCGTTCTGCAGAGATAAGGAGGTTTCTAGAATCTGTTGTCATGGCAGCTGTGGGCCTGAAGGGGGCAAGTTATTGAGGTCGCAGCCCAAAAGGCTATAGCTTTGAACCGAACAATGGGACATTTTTAATTTTAAATTAAAAATTATGGCTGATCAGAGGCTGTTAGTAACATAAATGTAAACAGCACAAGGTCTTCACCCCCGTTCCGCCTGACAAGGGCTGCAGCTTCTCATACGCACAGAAACTCAAACCACCAACACTCTGCTGTCTCGGACCTTCGACACACATGTAGGCCCCTGGGTCAGCAAAATGGATACCTTTAATATGTAAACAAACATGCACACACATGCAGAGACTCTATCCTGTTATTCTGAATGAAAACACTGCTGATACACACACTACACACCAGATGGAGATTACGTGGACTAAACCGTCACCCTCAAGCCCACACAGATCCACCCCTTTCTCTTTCAATGTCTTTCTCCCTAGTGGAACGGAGATGTGGGATGGCGCAGTCGAGCAGAGCATGAGAAGAGCATCGCAAACACACTGGCTGTCATGCTCTCCCTCAGTTCTGCTCAGATGTTTATATTGTCCAAGTGTGTGTTTGCTTCTGTCTTGCCAGATGTGCAGAGCGTGCATTTTTCCCAGCAGACGGCTTCTTTCTGTAAACACGGTTTATTTTAGGGTTTGTTGGTTCACATCCCGCTCGACACATGTTCTCTGTGGACTCACAGATAAATACATCATTTCTGCTGGTGCCTCCCAGTTTTGATTGCTTGTGAGTCCTAAAGCCAACAAAACTTACAGTGGGTCCCATTCCACTGTGGCTCCAATTTCCTCTGTGCTGTGGGTTCCAATCCCACTTATGTTTTATAGTTATGGGTTTCAGTTCCTCCCATGTTTTTCTCGATTGCAACAGTCCAAATCTCCTTTATTTATTTATTGTTTTTATAGGTTCTTGTCCCGCAGTGTTTCTGAAGGTGTTTTGGGTCCAATTCCATCTCCATCCTAGATCCTTCTGCATTCCTGTCTAGTGTAGCTGGGAAATACACCCATTTAAATGCAGTGCATTTAGCTCTTCTTTGGCAGAAATCAGTAATGAGTCAGTTTGTTCCAGCTGCTCCCCCCCCCATCCTGAATGAGCCTCTCCCTGTCCTCACCCTTGTAATCATGCTCCCCCCCTAGTCTGAACAACATCACACAGACAGTTAAGAGCTCAGAGGGCAACTCCGCACTCAGCTGCTCCCTGCTCAGCGTCGACTTCAAGAACTTCAAGGCCACCTGGAACGAGGAGGTCCAGCAGAACCGGGAGAAGTGGAAGGCACAGGCAGCCAAGGGTATGGCACGTGGGCGGGGCATGCCAGCCTTTGTGGGCGTGGCCTGGAATGGCACACCCATTTTATCTTATTGCTTGAGAACAACTTACCATCGACTGATTGTCTGCCCTCTGTGACCTGATTCTCTCCCCTGGCTGACTGAGGCACTGGAAATTGAAATTTCTCTGTCCAAGTGACAGGATCTGAATCCCGGGGCATATATATATAGGGGCGGGGTCACAGGGGTTCTTGCCCCAGGTGAAAGCTGATTGGCCCCCTCCCCTGTCACTTATCGATCCAAAACACCTTAAAAAATCCTAGAATTCGCCCTGCCTGAATCAGATCTGTCCCCACAGACCTGGAGGAGAAAGCAGCACAGGAGGCCAAGGAGGGAAGTGGAAATGGGGCATCGGAAGCAGCAGAGGCTGAACCAGGCCAGACCAGATCAGAAGAACAGCAGCCACAGGAGGAGGGAGCGGAGAAAAAGCCTGCAGGTGATCAGGACCCAGAAGGGGGGAAGGACCCCCCCTTAAAATCGGATCCAGACCAGTCTGGCAGCGCCAACGACCCCGAGAAGAAACAGCCAGTCCAAAATGGTAGGTCTTCTGTTACTCCTCACATGCCGTCCGCCAAAGCGTCCATACTTTGCAGGTGGCAGAGTGGTTAAAAAAAGAGGCATAAGAGGCTGTCAGTCTCAGGAGGGCCCCAGCTGTCGCACATTGAGTGTCAGAAATCGTATCCGCAGGTGGGTCAATGTGTGACATGTTTTAGCTGTCATTTATAGCTAATTAGCTGAAGAAATATAATTTCTTTATACCATACCAAAAGCTACAAGCAAAATGCCTTGTTCCCTGTGTTTCCTTGATCAGGAAGTAAAATCTGTATCGTATATGTAAAACTAGACAGTACATGAGCTGCTTTGGATACAGCAATCTGCTCCATTAGTGACTGTTCATATTCGGTCTCTGGTATTGGCGCTTCACCTCACACAAGGAGTACGGTGTGATGAAAAGCTTCTGAGTGGCGTCACAGAGCTGCATTTCACACCAAACAACCAGCAATGAGGGGGATACAGGTGCGGAAGCCAAAGACAGGCAAAGTCAATACAGGAAATACAGGGCAAATAGCCAAATGCGAAAGACTAAAGGAAGAACCAGAGAACTAGGAAACTGCATACTTGTTTGCTATGCAGTAGGTGAAATATAGTATGCAAAATGAGCAGTACACCATAATCCTCAGTATGGATGAGACAGTAGGTGAACAGTACCTGGATGTCATACTACATTCTGCGACACTCAGAAGTGCGCGAACGATGGGTACTACACTGTCCCACAAGGCCACAGGAGCTGCAGGCAGAGACAAAGAATGTCCCTCGCTCAGAATTTTTTGTCAAGATGGAGGAGGAAATGCTAGATATGTAGAAATTTGTAGAAAACAATACCCAGTTACATAAGTTGACTCAAATATTTTCATTTTCATTGATAAAGTCTTTAGCTTTCACGGGCATCAAGCTACATCATTGGAAAACATCCAGATTATAGGTGATGTGCAAAATGGTGCATGTGTGACACACACAGTGTATAACAGTATATAAAGCAGGAGACACATCTAACAGTATAACACATATACAACAGTGTAACAAAAAGGACAAAGCAAGGCAATGAGGCCCATTGGTGTCTGGTTAGAGGGACATGGGAAGGAAATGAAAGACTGACAATGCTGCACAAATATTTTAAGTGATTATAATATACAAGTATAAAGTAAAACTACATGACCCCCCCCATCCTGAGGACTGCAGGGAAATATACCTTTTATCTGAACTCCCACATGTTATTACTTGCTAATTTGTTAATTTGCTTGTTCAGCCTGCTTCTCAAAGCATAGCTTTGCTTCTGATCTGTTTTACGCCCCTTTTCCTGGTGGTGTTGGTCTGTTGCCCCCTGCTGGCTAGTTTGTACGACGGTTAGAGAAACAACCCCAGGGAATAACGTTTCCTCAATGACATCACCCCCGTCACATTCGGGTCTGAGTACCATTCTACTTTCAATTCACTGACCCTGGACCGAACAGAACACTTAAAAGGATTAAACAATTAACCAAGTTAAAGTACTTAAGTACTTTTTATATCTAAAGATGTAAATGGTGCACAGCAAAATTGCACATTTTATGAAAATGGTCTTAAGGCAACAATGCATTGAAAAGGCACTAATGGCTGTACTATGTTATCATTCCGGAATAATCTTCTTACACCATGCAGCTTTGAATGTGAAATCGGGCCATCAGTTACTTTTTAATTTCCCTTTAGGATTCCTAAGTAGAATGTGGATTTTTCTTTTTGAGTTCCTCGATTTAAAACATACGACCCCAGTTCTCTGTTTGTGAGTTCAGGGCCTGAGGTCTTTGGTTGGACTCAGTTTTCACGATGGGGCTGTTAAACACTGCGACAGAGCACAATGGTGTTATGGTGAACTGCAGACACACTCATGGCACCTTTCCACCCGACACTCCAGATCCTCGTCTGGCTCGTTCCCTGCAGGCGATTTTTCCCGTCACCTAAACCGGCCGTCCATCAGCATGGTGCTTTGTGTGATGGTGTTTTGTTTCGTTTTGTTCATCTCCCTGTTTGTTTGGTTCGGTTCCGGCCTGCAAGAGGGCCCTGACCTGGTCTTTCTCCGCTTTCGTTTAATTCACGTCACAGGAGAAGCGCCCAGAGGGAGCGACTTGCCCGAAAGTGACGAGAAAAAGAGCCCAAGTGGTAATCTATGTTTCTGTTCCCAGAACTGCACCACCTCCATCCACCACAGCCAGACAAACTGGGACAGGACCAGACAATTGATCCAAGCTCACAAAAGTGCATCTAACAGAAGGAAATAAAAACAGAAAGATATGTTTGTCGCATGAGGATCCAGTATTGCTAAAGCCATACAGTATTATTGTATTATTACTTTATCTTTCAGCTGCACTGAATCCTTCCTCTACAACCAGTATTTTCCCGACACCCTGGACCTTGCGACAATCCATTTACTGGAGACATTAGTTTCTTTGAAGTAGTACTATCTCACAATACAACATTCAGTATGTTTAGCTGAAAGTTCAAACCATGGAGTGTGTGTGTTGTATCAACTGAACGGTAATCTTCGGAGACAGCTAAAAAGGATATTTCCTCGGGTAGTTCCTCAGGACCCCTGGGAAATGTATTTTTATCAGGGAAAGTAGTATGCTACATACATGGATGCAGTGTGATGTTGTATAGTTTAAGCAGCTAAAATGAAGCTGAGGTAGATAACAGGATGTAGTTAAATGTACTTACATTTTAGCTTGAAACCTGGATGTTTTACGTTTTCAGTGAAGCACATGCTTCTAGTAACTGTGCTTTTAATTAAACCTGCGCCCCACATTCCGTATTCCCTTGGGCTAAATAATTAGATTTAGCCTTTTTACATATTTAAATCCTTTTGAATAATTAACTTTTTATCCAATACACATTTTGCTTTGTCTTTTGTCCACACGCATCCTATTGATTCTGAAGTTAATTAAATTAATGATTTTTTTTTCAAACTCAGCACGACAGAACCTGCATACACGAGGAAAATGATTGCAAGCAAAAAGTTTTAGTGTATTTAATTACCATTTAAAATGCATAAAATCCAAGACTTTAGTTTTATTAAAACAATAGTGATAAATAATATAGACATTTGTGCAATAGTGCAGTGAAACATGAAATTGTTTGAAAACGAGGGATACTTAGGGTTATTGTATCAGTGGATTACAAAACACACAAACAGACACGCACACACACAAACATAGACGTACAGTCCACGCATAGTATTCATATCTTTGTCTAATCTTAACTATGACAACCGTAACACCTACCCTGCCCGCACCTGCGCCATAAGTAGCCAAAAATACAAGACTTTCGGCATTTTAAATCATTTGACTGCATTCACAGATTTTTATAAAATTGATCTTTATGTTGTGGGGACCTGAAAAATGTCCCCGGAAGGTGAAAAGTTACAGGGGAATCTGATGCCCACAATGTAATAATTACAAAAATGCACCTGCACACACATAGACACAGACACACACTGCTCCACACAGACATCCAAAGCGGCCCTCCTGGATCACCCGGGTGCTAAAGGTGCCATATTTCTTCCCCGCAGGTCCTGAGGAGGAGATGAAGTCTACCCAGCGCTGCCACCCTGCTACGCTGGCAGCTTTAGCCTCTGCAGCTCGCCCAGTTTAAATAATCCACCACCTCAGTTTATTTTCCAAGACTAGATCCCCAGCATGAGCCACGGCTCCAGATTGCTCCCCCTAGTGGACACACTATTTTTTCTACCACGCTCCTTTTTTTTTTCTTTCCTTTTTTTATTGTGTGTTCTAGGGTGGGGTAGGGCAGGGCAGCAGTGGGAGGTGCCATATATTTTTCTCCTTTTCATACTGACTCCCAAACATGAGCTAAGTAAGCCCGCCCACTTTTAAAAAGGGGAGTGGCCTGGGCGTGAGTGGGACATTGGCACACATGCATTGAGAGAGACTCTTTCCTATTTTATTTGCTAAATTATTTATATAATTATTTGTAATGCTGTTTGCTAATAATGGGCACTGGGTTGGGCACTGGGATCCAGGGGCCATTACACCCATTGCATTATGGGTGCATTATGAGAGTTAAGGCCCGTCCCTGAGGAATGGAGCATAGATGACGGTTAAGCAGCCGTTTCCATGGAGATAGAGAGAGTCACGACGGGGTGGGAGCTCAGGTCATGTGCTTTTGTTTGTTGTCCTTCTGTAATCGTTATCTTTGTTAAGTTGCTCATACTCGTGCAAATACTGTTCAATTCTAACACCATTTGTCACACCAGAAATCCGACTGAAGAATTAATCTCAAAGGCACAGGTGGAGCCTAATTTTCTAATTTGTTTTTCCTAAATACTGATGAAAAAGCAATGGAGCGATAAGCTGAACGGGGGGAAATTTACCCCGAAGAATCGGCTTCAGAACGTTAGAGTGGTTTTTAGCAGTTTTTGGGTGGGATACAGGATTATACTGTGGTTGATTCAGCCTTTAACATAATCAGAGCTTGATATGTATCTCATATATAACTAATACATTTCCAAATACCTAAGAGTGAATGTCAAAGAACCTTGAGTCTCTCACTGATGATGATGATCCACCCATCTTCTGTAACCAATTGTTCTATTCAGTGTCATGGGGGTCCAGAGCCTATAAGCACAAAGCAGGGAATAACCCAGGATGGGATGGAAACCCCTCAACAACACTACACTACACTACAGCAGCCATAATTCATATAGAGGGGCCTTATCATGAAAAAATGATACACTTTTAGCGACACTAAAAGAGCATCATGGGAATTGAAGTCTATCATCAGAATGTTCCGCCTCACAATTTACATGGGGATAATATTTAAGTGTACAGATCTAGCTAGACTAGTGACACACAGAGGATAGAAATGTCATCCCAGCTTTCGTTTTCAACAGCACGGTCGAAAAACACTATTAAAGGATTGAGATGTCAGAATTACACTCTTGTAGGATGATTCTAGGGTCATAGATATTATATCTTTTGATGCCTTTTCCAAATAATACACCAGTGCTTAGAGACACTCCTTGGGCTTCCCAGAGAGCTCAGTACTGGAGCCTGACCTGTGTCTATGTGATTTTGACATTATTACCATCACATCACCCATATCACCTTAAGCACTATCCCACCGCCCAATTGCCTTGAGCGCTTCTTAACAAGCGGGGCTGTTTTACCCCCCCCTTCACTCGCTGGGTGCACTCCTTCCTTACTGTGACAGTCTCTGCAGTTGGGTCATCCATAAACGTTCCGCTCCACACGAAGAACAAGCCATCACAGTTTATAAGACCTGTACATATTTGTAATTTTGGGGAAATTGGCAGAAAACATGAGCCATGACCTGTTTTAATGGGTTTTCTATGCTCCTCAACTTCCATCTGCTGTTGATGTGAGTCTACTGTGGTAAATCACCCATATCACGGCTTAATTTCCCCCTGGCAGGATGCTGCAGCTCAGGTCCTCATCTGCTGCAGGCCAACATGTTTTATCAGTACTTGGGTTTCTGGCCCAGGTGAGCGATAAAGATTCAGGGTAGAGCAGAAGTGTGCACGTCCCATTTGCTTTGAGGCCTGTCGTCACTTGTACAGATCACTAGATTTCCCTCATTAGATATATTGCGCTCTTTCTCCTATGTCACATGCTGAATTTACAGTTTATCTCTTCATCACAATGTAACTACACAGCTCAAATTACATAACACTGTCATAACAGCACCAGTTGGAGCTCTTGGGATGTAAACCTGCAGCCTTTTGGACCCAGATCCCTTAACCACAATCCCACCTTCTTGCCCAAAAGGAGATAAAGTCTGATAACTGGTAATAAAAAGAACGTACGGATGGATTTGTACCCAAATGAACTTGAAACCTTCCCATGTCCTGGATTTCTGTCTGTCATGGCCGCTCGTAATTGTACATGTGCATCGTGTATTTATCTACAGGCCTCATTAGCAAAACAGCATAAATAAAACGTGTTAGCCTGAACCTTTATGTACGACATGAGTGTCGTCCCTGCCAGCATTATTCTCTGTTGAGAGTGCCTATAATTACCAGGTCTTTGACGTCTATAGCGTTTTCATTTAAATGTGGACGTTTTCCTATGAGCAGTCATATTTGGACAGGATTTTGACATGTATGCAATAGGGCCGATAACACAGCATATAGTAACAGAGTGACAGAAACGTATAATTAGAGTCAGCTTAGCTTCCACCTTCACATTTCCGGGTGCCTACTCTATCCTAATACTGTGCTGCATTTTAATTGCAATACCCCAAAGTGGCCCATTTGCGTTAATGTATGCGTGAGAGTTGCTTTTTCCTGCATCTGCGGTGGCGGGGGTTCATACTGTTGAAAATGTTAGTGCGGTACGATGAAGTGAGACATAATTGCACAGTGTCACTCCACATAGTTTTATCTTCCTTTTTAAACAGCGGTATATATTAAAATCCAATAGGCATATGTATTTACTTTGTAAGGCTACATTATTGAAACTTTAACAGATGACTGCATTAAAACATTATTTCAGATTGTAACAGTATTATAATCCGCATAGTATGGACAGCCATAGTAGGCTTATCGAACTCAATATTTATCACAGTTATTAAAAAACTTGCAAAGTCGAAGTTATTGCAAAACAGTGATTGTTTGGCAAGCAACATGAGCCGTGTAATAGCTGTCCGTTCTATGATCACTGAGTTCAATAAGCTAATAAATTCGGAATTAAATTAAATATGATTTTTAAAGTGTTTGAGATAGACTGTAGACATAACATACAGTTGCATTAAGTGCCAATAGTTAAAATATTTTCAATCAGCGGCGTCTAAAACGGATTTACCCGAGGGATGTTTTTGATTAGCAGAAGTTAAACCATCCTTAATTTGATCACTTTAAGGATGATATTTTAGCGTTACCGCTAGTGACATCTAGTGGAAGTAAGCTATGGTCACTCAAATGCCATTTTAAAAACGTGTGCGGTACTGTAACCATTTAAAAACCAGCATTGGCAATCGTGAGTGGTTATATTCAGCCCCAAAATTAGGGTTATTTGTTCAATTAAGATGAAAAATCGTTTAGAAAGACGCAATGCATGCAGATTTACCTACAACCAGAACTTCGAAGGTGTGCATGGTCGAATGTTCTGTGTGTTTAAAAGCATCAAGCTGCGGGTCATAAGCCCCCATTTTCAACTACATCGCCACCTGGTCTCCGTGTATTTTAAAACCAGCCTGCTTCCTGTGTCGCCGGTTAGTGCCACTTCGATTGTAATATCACTCGATTTTGGTTTATGTTTTCCCAGTCATACTTCGAATTTCGTCTGATAGTAATGATGTGTGATTTGAGAGAAGCCTTTATTAGGTGGGCATGTGTCCGCTTTGCCCCTCTATGTACAAAAGTCATATTTCGTTTGTCAGCTATTAGCAGTGTTTACAAGGGCGGCACGGCTAGAGCAAGATCATAGAGCAAGATAAGCCTGGTGTTTCGTGGTAAATAGTGCCACCTATTGTTTAGGACCCGCAACACATCACTATGCTGTTCACGCGATCGTTTCCATAGGTTTTTGAAACAAGGCTTTTGCACTTCCTTAGCTTGACAAATAACCGCCTGTAAAAGCGTGGGGATTGTTTTATGTTTTGTTTTTTTGTTTGTTTCTTTCATATTTGGAGACATGTCTTATGCATCTCTGTGAAGAAGCTCCATTGTGCGAAATGTTGACCATCACTTTAAATCACCCTCTAATGGTGTCATTATTTGTTTTATCGTTTCAAGTCGGGAAACAATACTGTTAATCATAAACCAAGAAAAATAAAACTGTGCTGACCATGTGGTCATGGTTGTTACGATGTTAATATTTTGTTGTTGCATTGTTGTGACAATAAATCTGAATTCAAAGGGCTCAGATCACGTCTCTGTGTCCTTATCGACTTAAGCTGCAGTGTGTGGGAAGTGGGGTGGGGGAGGGGACTGGGAGTTAAAGGCTCACAGAATTTTGTAGATGAAAATTACTTAATATCATTGTATCCAAAGCAACTTACATGGATAGTAGTTTCTCAAACTTTTAGATTAACTCAGCACAGCTTGTTGGGTCCCTCCAAAAACATTCTAGACCAGGGGTGGGCAATCTTATCTGCAAAGGGCCGGTGTGTATGCAGGTTTTTGGGATAAACTTTATGTCAGCTGTTCAAACCCACGTGTGAGGACTCTTCAGCCAATCAGTCCTCTAATGAGTAGTCTAATTAGGGAGTTGCAGCGAAAACCCACACACACACCGGCCCTTTGCGGATAAGATTGCCCAACCTTGTTCCAGACATCAAGAACATACTCATGCTTAGGACAAGTAAGAGCTGGAATGTTTTTATAGGAGTCCCGTACCCATGTGTTGTGTAAGCGTTTCCTCAGTGTTTCTATACAGCAAGATAACAAGCCACACATCCCCCTGTCTTCCAGACTTCCCCCAGAAGTACAACATGATCCGCTACTGGAAGAGACCCAGCTACTGCGCCAGGTCACACTTGCCATCCAGCGAAAAGGCACGTGAGGGCCGACCCGGTGACGCTAGGATCAAGGCCAGGCAGCTCCAGAGCATCTCCTTGCGCCACAGGAAGTGATGTCACAGGAAGTCATATTTCATCATCTTCTAAATGACCTGTTATAACTATCATTCTTTTTATTTCCCCCATCAGAGATGTCAGTAAGATGCTGCTGTGTAGAGAGAGCTACAGTGGATATAAAAACTTACACACACCTATCAAAATGCCATGTTTTTGTGGTGCAAAACAAATGAGAGCTCAATAAATCACTTCAAAACATGTCCCACCTTTAATGTGACCTATAATCTGCACAATTCAATTGAAAAGCAAACAAATCTGTTAGGGGGAAAATAAAATAAAAATTAAGAAAACAAATTTTAAAATAACACGTACAATAAGCTGGTTGCATAAGTGTGCACAACAAACTAATACTTTATTGAAGCACCTTTTCATTTAAATACAGCATTCAGTACACACCTGCTACCAAGTGACTGATTAACCCCAAATTAAGTTCAACTGTCCTAGCAGGATTTTCTTGACATTTACTCAGTTGCATCCTACAGCTAAAGTCATGGTTCACAGAGAGCTTACAAAGCATCAAAGGGATCTCATTGTTGAAAGGTATCAGTCAGGAGAAAGGTTAAAAAAAATCCATGGCAATAGATATACCATAGAACACAGTGAAGACAGTCATCAAGACGTGGAGAAAATATGGGACAACAGTGACGTTACTGAGAACTGGACGTTGCCCCAAACTGATGAAAAGACAAGACTGGTCAGGGAGGCTGATAAGAGGCCTACAGCCACACTGAAGGAGCTGCAGGAATTTCTGGCAAATACTGGTTGTGTACTGCATGAGACAGCAATCTCCAGTAGTCTCCATATGTCGGGACTATAGGGTAGGGTTGCAAGACGGCAGCATGATGCTTTGGGGATGTTTATTTTCATCTGGAACTGGGGCTTTAGTCAACGTGGAGGGAATTATGAACAGTTCCAAATACCACTGAATTTTGGCCCAAATTCTTCAGGTGTCTGGTAGAAAGCTTACGACAAAGAGGAATCCCACCTTTCAACACAAGAATGACCCCAAGCCTACATCCAGATCAACAAAGGAGTGGCTTCACCAGAAGAAAATTAAAGCTTTGGAATGACCGAGCCAGAGCCCAGACCTAAATACAACTGAAAATCGGTGGGGCGACCTGAAGAGGGCTGTGCACAAGAGATGCCCTCGCAATCTGACAGGTTTGGAGCACTTTTGCGAGGAAGAGTGGGTAAGTATTGCCAAGTCAAGCATGATGATAGACTCCTACCCAAAAATCAAAAGGTGCTTCAACAAAGTATTAGTTTAGGGGTGTGTGCACTTATGCAACTGACTTATTGTAAGTTTTTTTGTGTTTTGTATACTTTTCCCCCTAACAGATTTGTTTGTTTTTCAATTGAATTGTTCAGGTTCTAGGTCACATTAAAGGTGGGGAAAGTTTTGAAATGATTTATTACATTTTAACAGGGGTGTGTACACTTTTTATATCCACTGTAAATGAGACTAAATGGTGCTTAATAACTTAATTTCTAATAATTATTCTAATAAAGGATGTATTCACTGATATAGCAGTATAGATAGTAAAACACTGATCAGCTCACACCAGTAAAACATTTCTCTCTCCTGAGATTTATGTCCTGAAAACTCTACAGCTACAGTTAAAACAGCTGCTAACTTCTGCTTATGGATGTAATGTGATATTATGTGATAACATTAATGAAGCTTTAAGGCCACTATCCTCTCAGACTATAACACATAGCCCTGATACATCCCTGCATTTTTGTTATGCCGTGAAGCCTGAACATGTTGAATCGATAATGTTAGTGGAGACATTCTGATAACCAAGCACTTTGTGCACTTGCTAGGTTTGGGCCTGACAGGGGGTTATGGGTATTTTTGGCACCCGAGTCATTCCCTGGCATGGCTATCTCAGGCAAAGAACAGTGCTTCCGACACGAAATGATGACATCACCGCATTACCATAAAAACACAACTCGCCATTCTGGAACTCCCATCTTTTTGCTGTGTCTGTGTTTTTTGCATTGTATGTTCATTCTGCATTGGTATTTTTTCCATGCAGGACATGCATTGGCAGTAAAGAGTTTGTAGGATACATGCAGAGGAGGCTTATATTCACCCATCATTAAATAATCATCTTCCACCAAAAGTAAAGTGATTAGTATATAACTGCTTTGATGTGAAAGAGTTCTGTGTAACTGTGCAGCATATGGGATATACATTCTGTAAACAATTAAAAACCTTCTTTCAGACCAGTCTTGATGACTGGTGACAATTTCTATGAAGATGTGAATTTCTGTGGCTTCTGCATTTCCCAGGGGTTTTAGCAAATACAGCTCTGGAAAACATTAAGAGACCACCGCACGATTTTTAGTTTCAGTCATTTCTCAATTTATGAATGTGCTTCTGTGAATGATGTTCTCTGTTTCTCATTAATGAAGGGCTGCTTTCCTGCTTTATGGGACTTCAGTCCTGCTTCAAGGAGCCTGATAGAAACTGCCATAGTTTCAGTGCACTTCACACCTGCGCTTAAGGTCACTTGATGTCATCCTCTGATTCCTGAGAAACTGTTGGATAAATTGACAGTCATCTCTGGCATTAAAAAGTTGCTTCTACCCTCTACATGGATAGTTTCTGGTTGTTCCCAGTGTCTCCTGCTTTATTTTGTTCTTGTATACTGCTGTCTTAGAAACTTTGAGCCTGGAAGCAGCCTGCAGTGCAGTGTAGCCTCTGCCAGCAGAACCAGGATTAAACCAGGATTTAACTCTCATAAAATTGAGCCCAAAGGCACGTATCAGGTGACTTCTCACAATAACTTAATTTTTGTAGGAGCATTTAAGAGTTAAGAACACAGATTCTTAAAAAATATGGAGTGGTTTCCTAATTTTTTCCAAAGCTGTATATGAATGGCATCGTACTGTTGAAACTGATGAATGCATGGTTGGTAGATGAAAATTAAAAACCTTATAAACAAACATGTGAAATTTCCTATTTATTCCCAACTTGTCACAACCACAGGACAGAATTATAAAGTAATACACACAATTTCAGGTTGTTTCCTCTCTGATTGCTAAGGACTCGGAGCTGACAGCAGTGGGGTAGCCGACCACAAAGATACATACAGTATATGAGGCGGCCGATATGAAAGAGAAGAGGCCAAAGATGAGGTCATGAGTCAGCACAACGAGCAAAGGAAAGCCAAGGATGAGGTCATGAATCAGCACAACGAGCAAAGGAAAGCCAAGGATGAGGTCATGAATCAGCACAACGAGCAAACGAAAGCCAAGGATGAGGTCATGAATCAGCACAACGAGCAAACGAAAGCCAAGGATGAGGTCATGAGTCAGCACAACGAGCAAAGGAAAGCCAGGACACTAAACCAAAAACCAGCAAGAGACCGGAACACCAGGGCTGAAAGAGCAATCCTGACCGAACGCTAAGACCAAAAAGGAAGGACTGGCAGATTGTGAGCTTAAATAGGCTGAGTGATTGAGGACAGGCATGATTAGTAACTGAGTGAGACAGCCTGAAGGTGGGTGTGTCCATGGTGGAGGCGGGGGGGACCCAACTGGCAGCAGGTGGAATATGGACCGGATGTGACATTAAAACTCTTATAGTTAAATATAATCAATTGCAGTTTACTCAAATACTAATGTACTATAATCTTACTTTTTGTACATTTAATTTAACTAATGGTTTTTTCCAAAGTGATTCACATTTTTTTTTCTTGTGAAAACAGGGTCAGTCAGTCCCTGGAGCAGTTGGGAGTTAAGAGGGCTGCTCAGGGGCCTAATGGCGAAATCACTCCACCAACCCTGGGATTGGATCTCATGCACTGTAAGCTCACTTGTTCTGACCTAATTTATGCAGTTTTCACGTAGCCAGGCTGAGCATCATGGTTCAAACGTGCCATCGTCACTTGGGGCTGTGATGTCCGTGGGCGAGTGACAGACCTCGGCTGGCCAAGAGGAGGGAAGGATTTGGGGTCTGGAGTGTAAAGACTGACACGTAGCCGGGAGGGGAAGTGTGGCGAGTGTGGCTAGACCGGACATTCTGTCAGAGGCGGTTGTCACGACAACACATCTCGCTCTCCGCGCGAGTGTTTCAATGGGTCCTCTGAACTACTTCAACTGACGGCTTATTTCAGTGTTTAGATTCAAGAGGAACTGCAGCAGGGTACCAGTGTAAATCTCTAAAACCTCTATAAGCAGACTGAAATGAAGGCTGATGTAGGATTTGCAGTCCCGTCAGCGGCCCTGTGGGCTGGGCGCTGAGTGGGTGGCGGTGACGAGCATTGCGCGCACTGAGAGATTTCCCTCCGATATTTATTATGTAAAACATTTTTTTGTTCAAGTGCTTTCCCAGTATAAACATGTATTTCCATGCAGGAAAAAGGGAAAACGATGGAGACGTACATGTAACATTAAAATGAATAATTTAAGCAAACCCCACCAAGCCTTAAATGGATCCCTAGGGGGGCCCCGGTCCTCATCCATATGACCTAAGCATGAGTAGGTCTGAGTGTTGATCACACAGCTTTCTCCATCCGTTTGGTGAGCACTCCTATCAGATGACGGCGAGGAGAACCAGCAGGTCCCTTCTGAGAAATCGGCGCCTTTGAATTCAGAGCGAGAGCTGCTCCATTCTCTCCATCAGCAGCTGCAGCTCTGTCTCATTCAATGCATAAAAACAGCAATGGGAATCTGGTCCGGCCCGAAGCATAAGTGAGCTATGCAGTTGCTTAGGGCCCAGCGGCCACCAGGGGGCCCCCCATCCAATCCGCCTGTCAGAATGGGAAGGGAGATGATGAATGACAACACGGCTAATCAAAATTTGCTTAGAGTGCCACCAAGGGTTGGACCGGGACTGAGAGAAATGATGATGATTCAGTGGATTTTGCTGTAGGTCGCGTTGCTCCAAGATAAAGACAAGATGGACTAAAAGATCCAGGTCAGAGTGGCTGCAGGTGCCATCTTCTTTGACCCTTGACATGTCCCATATGGGCTGAGTGAAGTTCCATTAAAGGTCAACACAGTTTCATTCTCAAGATCTCTTTATTTCAGCTGGTGCCCACAGGCTACACAGCACAAGTCTGTAAGTCTAGGCTCCTTTCCACAAACATGCAAAACACATCAAGTATCTCATCTCAGTGTCACACATGTAGTCCCCTATCACCAGCAGCAGGTGGCGCTGTGGCTTAGGAGCAAGAGTTCTTAAAATTTCCAAGAGCGCAGTGCATTCTGAACCTTCATGAAAATGCACCAAACACAGGAATACTTAACTGAATTGGGGGTATCAGTGTGCAACAGAAAGTCATTTCATATGAGTTCTGTACATTAAAATATATTTAAATTTAAATATAGCCATTGTATAGAAATACAGTTGAACAGTGTTCTTAAACTGAATAGCTTCAGTCGGCGTTCATTTATATAAAGTGTAAGCAACGTAAATAGTTAGTTCTGTATGCCTGCATGTATGATCCTATACTGGATAAGGATGGATGGATGGATGTAAAGTTCTGTGTGTTGTTGTTCTGAGCAACAATCATAAAAAATAAACAGAAAATGAGACGCTATCACTGTGAGACACCCACCCCCCCCCCCCCCCCGAGAAGCCTGCAGGGCAGCGACCTCTGGACAATCCTAACGTAGCCTGGGGCTCGAGCAGAGGCTTGGAGTGGCTCCTTCTTGAGTGGTTTTGTTCATATACAAACCCCCCCCCCCATTCATTTCAGAGTGTCCCTAGTGACTGAGCGTCTGAGTGGTTCTTTTAGCTGAAAGAAAAATGGTTGGGGAGGACAAGGAAAAGAAACAAAGTTTAGCGTATTAGAATCAGATGTATGGCCAGCAGGGTCTCATCCAAAGGCACCATACAGATTCTCCATGCAGTGTACAGGGACGATTCCAGGATTTTTTAATGTGGGGAGCATAAGAGGGGAGACTTATTCATACAGAGGAGCCAACCTTACCATTAGCCAATGATATGTTTTGAATTGGTGAGTGACAGAGGAGTGTACACTTCAGGGGCCAATCAGCTTTCAGATGGGCCAGTGCCCCTGTAACCCTACCTCTGTATATGTGTAGTACTTAAACGGTGCATATATGACCTCACTTCCAGCCCAAGAGTCTCTGTATGGCACATGATCTGAATTCGGGGACAGTGTCTGCCTTGCGTGGGCCTGGGCGTGAGGCCTAACCCCAAGGACTGCTCCAGGAAAGGTGTCTGACCCAAATCCCCATGCGTTTGTCTCTCATGGGAGAACAAAGTGGGATGTGTAAGTATTGGATTTTGTTGTACTCGCTGTCTGCACAATGACAAGAAAGGCATTCTATTCTCTCAGTGAAATAAAACATAAAAGAACCTTGCGGCATCAAAATAAGAGCATTTGCTGCAGAATAAGTTGAAATGTAAAGTATGCTAAATAAATAGTAAAATGTATAAAACTGGAAGAGATGTAGGTCATAGAGAAGCAGTTCCACTTACACTTTGGAGAAACGCGACAAAGTCCAGTTTGTTCTGTTTCCCTCCTAAGATCTGGTCCGATCCGGACTGGGGAGCGTCGATGGTGTGCTGCAGGATCTGGATGCCTTCCTGGGTGGACACGCCCCCTAGAGGAGGCCAGGGAAGCAGAGAGCACTGCGTGCCCACCGTCCTGGTCCTGATGCTGGGAGCGGTGTTCAGTCTGAGGCTGGGGCTCATACCGGGGGTGGGGCTAGCCATGGGGGCGGGGCTAGCCATGGGGGCGGGGCTCCAGAGCAGAACTTCAGGGGGGCGGAGCCTCAGCTGGGCACATAGGTACGACTGCTCATCCAGGAGCCTGTGCATCTTCTGAGTGGAGCCACAGAAAGTGAAGGTGAAGATCTAACAACAGGAGGCGATATAGAGTCCTAAAGCTACTTTAGTTTGACTACTTTCTGAAGAAAACTTGCTAAAAACAGTTAAATGTGCTCATCAGGAATGCAGGGCCTGTATCATTAACAGCATTAAAAACAACCTGATTTATATCACTAACGTGCAGAAAAGTGAGTGTGGCAGGGAGTGATAGCGAGGAGTCCAGTCAGCTGCAGTGCTGCAAAGGGGGTGATTACCGTTCTGAAGCCCTGGTCGTAGTGGTGGGCCAGGTCAGCCAACTGAACCTCAAGCTCCATCGCCTCCTTCCTGACGGCTGACCTCAGCTCTTGGACGACCTTGATGTCTTCCCTGGGGAGGGAGAGCTGTGTGACCCCAGGTAGACCCGCTCTGCTTCTGTCTGTGCTCATTTATCTCATATAATGATGATGATGATGATGAATTGTTTTTGTTGGCGAACTTCTATCTGGGTTCTCTAAATTGCCCAGACAGCATGGTATGCCCTATGCTCTCTGGGACGAGCTCCAGGCCCCCTCAGACCCCCAGAATAAGAGGTCAGAATATGGAATATCATTATTATTGTCGTTATGAAACACCAAATGTGCACTTCTGTCCAAGGGTATTTTCAATTCACAGTACGCCCTCTACAGGCAGCACCATGATCCTACTGACGTGCACGGTCATTTCAGCAGGTGGGTACCTGTCCTCCTCTGTGAGGTCACCGTGCAGCGAGGCCTGCTCCTCGCCCAGCCGCCGCTCGATGTCCGCCAGCACGAGGCGGAAGGTGCGTGAGCTTCGCATCATCTTGTCCAGCTCGTGCATGGAGTACTGTAGGGTGGGAGGAGCAGAGTCGGTGTGACGGGGGCTATCGGAGACACCTCAGCATGTCAGCCCCCCCCCTCCAAACTTCATTATTATTATTATTATTATTATTATTATTATTATTATTATTATTATTATTATTATGTCTGGAAAGGCTCTGGATCACTGTGGCCCAAATGAAAGGTAGATGGCTCGAGGGATTAGTATGACTCTAGGATTGTTCATTGACTTTAAGTCTTATGATGACCTACAATGTCCATTTGGATGACCTAGCTGCACCATAGCTGCACTGTTGCTGATATCATAGGCCTAGGGGGACAGTCTTAACATACGTTCACACCGCGGGCAGCAGGAGCGCCTGCAATCGCACTGACCGCCCTGTCCGCAATGCTAGCGAACCCTGCGGACGCTCTCTGACGTAATGGAGTAGGCGGGGACAAGTTTGTTCACAATGCTAGGTCTTGCAAACTCATTAAAGCGGCGCACAAAGCAAACAAATTTGTAGCTTAATTTGTGCCGACCACCAATAGGATATCATTTGTCAAAGCAAACGTAATTATGTCGCCATACACTATATATAAATAACTATAAATAAGTAACGTTAGAGTTACCGGCGATCCACATTATTTTGCATTCTATGGCAGCTAAAATGGCAGTGTCATTTAGCATATATAGATTTATACTGGGGTGTCTGGACCTTGAACTCTGTCCCTGACTACTTTGCTCCTTTTACTTCAATTGCTCCAAGTCAGACATATTAATTCAGTGTAACACGAACGAACCCCTTTCTTGAAATTTTCATTTCAGTGGCTAGGATTAAAAGCCGAAATATTATCATATGGCAACCAGTACAATGCATTACAGACTGAAACCTTTGCCCTTGAATAGAAAAGTCTTACCCTAAGTAAATCACAGTACAGAAGGACTTTTTAACACACACATTTACAGTGTTGGCGTGGTATAAAAATGCAAGTCTACATGGGTTTTTTAAACGTGTAGTTTTATGCTGCCTAAATAGTTTTTTTTTTTTACATGTCTCAAGGGTAAAAAACGTTGCGTGGAGACATATTCCATCTCAGGGTTTATACCGCGATGGTGCCTGGGATCTGTTTAGTTGGAACAAAAGTTTACACGCTTGTGTTCAGTGGAGCATCTCTACATTCCAACTGGTTGCCGCTGAACCGCAACATAGCTCATTCCCATAAATTTGACCAGGCTCAACTTCACATTGACTCTCTCGAAACTACCCACGATGCACCGCACTGCTCCTTGCTGACTCCCTTAGAGAATGACCGACTCCCTTACAGAATGACTGACTCCCTTACAGAATGACTGACTCCCTTAGAGAATGACCGACTCCCTTACAGAATGACTGACTCCCTTACAGAATGACTGACTCCCTTACAGAATGACTGACTCCCGTTGCTTTGATGCTCTCGCTGCTCGCGGTGTGAACGTACCTTTAGACAGTTAGTATTTAGCTAGTAGCATGAGCATGAGTGCAAGGATGCCTTATGGTGCCCTACCCGCCTTAGTTTGTGTGTGTGTGTGTGTGTGTGTGTGTGTATTATGTTTATATTACACCTGTTATTTTGACATTGTGGCGTCCGTTTTTCAGGTCCCCACAAAGATCTGTGAATGCAATCAAAAAAGTAGAAATGCCAAAAGTCTCATATTTTCTTTGGTTACTTATGGGTAAGGTTAAGGCTGAGTAGGGGTTAAGGTCATCATGTTGTGGTTAGAGTTTAGTGTGTGTGTGTTTGTGTGTGTATGTGCTCGTATTTATGTGTGTTCACTCACAGGGAATGTGGAGGACATGCTGGAGGTTCGCTGCATCTTCTGGGTCGAGCTGTCCGGGTGTTGATGGCTGCAGTGACGGTGTAGCGCCTGTGGGGGGCAGCAGCTGCAGCGGTGGTGGCAGCGGCAGCAGCAGGCTCCTGATTCCACCTTCCAGTGCCTAGTTGACATCTCTTCCTCCTCGTCATCTTCTTCATATGCCAACCCCGTGTCCAAGGATGTCGACCGGGTGCAGAAGCCCCCTTCGCCTCTCTGGGTGCCGTGCTGTGGCCTTGGGGAAGGGAAGTCGGAAGGGAGATCCAGGGGGTGTTCCAAGGGGGGGTCCAGGGAAAGCTCATGGTCACTCCATGTACTCCCATTCACCGAGTCGGGTGTCGGGGTGGGGGGTGTTGCCCTGCCATTGATGGTCTGGGACACGGAGCTTAGACTGGAGGGCATCTGCACCGAGACCCAGCAGGATGGCCTGCCCCCTCCACACCCTGTATCCTCCATGAGTGTGGGGTTGCTTTGGTCATGCCATGGTCTGGGCAGGCTGCTGGCTGGGGGAGCTTCTGGCAGTCCTCGAACTTCCCCAGAGCTTGGCTCCTTGCTCCCCGTGTACTCAATAAAGCTCTGGAGTCCCGGAGGCTCCGCCTCCTGATCCAGTTTGGGTATGTCTTCCGCAGAGGATACATATGTCAACTCATCACTGTCAACACTATCCATTAGTAGGGTGGCCATGCTTTCTCCAATGTTCGACTCCTCGCCCCTGCAACTGTTCTCACTAGAGATGACCACACCCCCATCCTCCAAGACACCTCCCATATTCCCCTCATTGTTCGACGATGTGATGGTGTAATTGGTCATCAAGGTGGAGGCCTCCTTCTCATGCTCCTCCTCCTCTCGGCTCAGTTCTACCTTGGCACCGCCATTAACCCAGGATGCCCTAGGACCTGGAGATGTCTCCAAGCCCTCAGTGGAATGGTCACCTTCCAAGTTGGCCCCCACTGGGGGAACTCGATATGAGGCGTCCTGGCAGCCTTCCTGTATGCCTTGGATCTTCATGTCATCCCCTGCATTTACCTGCAGGGTCTACGGAACACAATAAAACCCAACTCAGTGGTACTTCAAGCCAGCGGGATACCTGAGGCCAAACACTTCCCATTCACCAGCTTCTGTAAAGGCTGACAGATCCTAACTCTGCTCTTGTGTTCATTTGTCCCCGATTTGTATTTTGATTTGATTGTTTACTTCTGTCAGGCCAATTGAGTGAAACAGAATACATGAATTGATTGACTGACACTCAGGCTGCTCAGTCAATTTCTTTGGGTAAGTTAGTTTGAGAGTCACATCTCTTTACCTTCATATGAGCCGGTGCTGCCGCCCCCTGCTGGGACCAGGGAGGTATGACAGGCTCCTCCAGGAATCCACTGCTGTCTGACTGGCAGCTGTTTGTCCTCACCACGCCCAGCTCTGCAACAGGCAGGGGAACATAATAGTTAAAGGCGAGATGATGAGTGTAGTCCCAGAAGGGAGTGATGTTGTTTTGCTGTGGTGTTGTCAGCACACTGGGAAAGCAGGCAGTAGCAGTAAGTTAAATGATAAACTGATAGATGTGAAATTCAAAGGATGTACAGCTGGAACTGAACACCTAGCAAGGACCAAAATGGTTAAATTCACATGCCTTTCCTGTGTTCTCACTATGCTGTGTCACGAGAAACTCTTTTAAAGAAAACTGCCCCTCGAAGGAAAAAAGGTCTGGCTTAAAGAAATTGGACAGCACTCTTAAGAGACAGACAGAAACACCCAGGCTGTACCTGTGCCGTTAGAATGGCCTGTGACGTTCCCTGCTACACTGGTGTCGTCAAAGCTCTGTACCTGAGGAAGAGATCCAGTAGAACACTCAGCAACTGGTGATTCCATAATCACAGGTTACATCGTGGAAAGGTGTTTACCTCTTCCAACTCGAAGGACTCAGGTTCCCGGCCATCCTCGGGACTCCTCTTCCTGGTTAGGACAGTGGAGGGTGTAGATACAGCATCTCTACCCAACCTGGTCCTCGGGGGGGCCTCCTGGATCGATGGAGTGGGGCTCAGCTTGGGCTGAGAAGAGTCTGGCGAAAGCCCCTGCTCCTCAGCCAGGGGGGAAAGTGCGCTGCCCTCGGAGGGCAGGAGGAGCTGTCGTGAGCGTTTGAGGGCTGGCCGGGGCTCGGGGCGGGACTCGAGGCGGGACTCGAGGCGAGGCTCCGGGCTGGGATCCTGGTGCGGAATGTGGTCTGTGGCGGACTGGTTTAAGGTCTTCCGGGAAGCCCGACGGAGCAGCATGGCGAGCCTCTTTCGCTTTTCGCTGGCCTCGGGTTGGTTGACATGTCTTTGCCCGGCGACCGGTTGCCTGGCGACCGGTTGCTGGGCTGGAGCCTGGTTGCCAGGAGGGCTGCCGACCAGAGAAGAGAAGGCCGTGGCCACTTGGTGCAGCACCTCCAGCTGCCTGAAGCGATCTGTGGGAGGAAGAAGGTGGGCGGGGAGAGAGATTGAACCATCACTGGTCACATGACGAAGAATAACCAGCTTTGTGGCAGCGCTGCAAAAGACCACATACTCTCCGTTTATGTCCACCACTGATCACGTTTCCTCACGTAATGTGACTGCAGGTCTATATACAAGGAGCAGTGTCTATAAATAAGAGGCTGGTTTGCATGGGTGTGCGGAGCAAGCGACAGTGACATGATACGTCTGTGGGATGTGTCACTGCATCGCTGTGGCCATATCATGCATATTATAAATGTGATATTTTATATACATTTATTAAACCTATACTCCTCGCTGCATCCAGGGATAGGCTCTAAGCTCAGACAAAGCCAGTCCAAACGCATCATTCAAGCGCTTCAGAACGTGAGAGATAAGGAAGGACGAGGTGGGGGGGGGGGGGGGGTGAGCAGCATGAAGCAGCTTCGTAGTTTCACATAATATTTGAGTTGTAGATGCTTCCTGTCAGAGGATTATTCGCCGTCAGGCTCGCTCTGGACGGCAGCCACACAGGAGAGATGAAACGCAGGACAGGAATCTTAAACAGGAACCTGAAACATATGTTTACTTGCCTGCTCAGGCTCTTCTGGAAGCTCCTGAACCTGAGCTCTAACAGACCCAGCGCCCGGGTTGTCCATCTTGGCCAGAGCCTTTGCTCAGACATTTCTGTGAAATGCATTTCTACGTCTGCATGAGCATTATAGCTCGCAATAAGAAAAATGTGGCATAGACTCTACCCATAATGCAATGCAACTCATCCTTATCAACGTGCTATACAACTACACTATATAACTATACTATATACTATATAACTACAGTGGTGTTGCCAGGAGGTCATCTTGGGGAGAGCATTTAGGTATGTTGGGTGGGCATCAGTGTTCAAACTGGTGAGGAGCAACTGTAATAGTTCACTGGAAGGGGCTAAATCGATGTTTGGTTAAATTTGGTCTACTCCATCTGGGCAAGCACCTGCAACCAGGCTCCCAATATGCAAAACGAATTATTAGAAAATCTGTGGAGTTGCTTGTTACAGCTGGGTACGAGCATGTCAACGACCAGCGGTTCAAATGGCGGAATGGGGCTTGCTGTTGTACCATCGAGGGAGCACTTCTTATAGTGACGATGTTTGCAACTAAGTGTTAGAATTTGCCGTATCGATAAGCAAGATTCAAAGTGGCTTCCGAGAAAAAGCAGCTGATTAGTCAGCATGCTTCTCAAAACCACCAGCGGTTAGTGCTCTTATCTGCACTTCCCCGCAGGCTCCCAGCGTGTCACAAGTGAGTGTGTGCATGCAAATACAGTGCGGCCCAAGTGACCTCAAACACAAGCGCGTGTGTGAAGTGAAGGAGCAGTCGACTGCCGCTGTGTGTCCACTCCTGGTAATATGTGATCACTCACTGCTGAGGTCAGGGTTCTCAATATCGATTCGGTTCTTCTGGGCCTCCAGGAACACCTGGATGTTGATCCCCCGGGCCTGGGATGGGTGGTTAATGAATCGGGCTGGGATCTTGACGGTGATGTCGGGCTCGTCAGTGCCAAAGCCCAGGTCCAGGAGCAACTCCTCGGGATCGTCATGCCAGAGGTTCAGCACATCCATGACACTGCAGTGTGCACATGTGACCAGCAGGGGGGCAGATTATTTAAAGAGTCACTTTTTAAATGAAAAACCAGTCACTAAGGTTTCAACTTAAGCTTAATGCTAAGGTGAGTAAACCTTCAAATGTATTTTGGCAAAGGTGGTGCCTAAGCAAATTTAAATGGAAATATTATTATTATTATTATTATTATTATGTTCATGTGTGGGAAGTCGAACCTGCGACATCCAGAGAGGGCAGAGACTGTAGATGTGATGCTGTTCCCCCGGAGGAGGGCGGAACTCAAGTGCAAAGGCCTGTAGTGGCACAAACATAAAGACAGGTGGTGCAGTGGTTAAGGAGCCACCCTTCATATCACTTTGAACATAAACAACCACTAAGCAAAAAAAAATAAAAAATCAGGACTAAACTATAAGCTAGACCACATCTTTAAAGAAAAATGAGTGAGCCATTATAAAAATTGCTCTATATAACTAAATTGTGTCTCAAATAGGTAATAAGTAAAGAACTGAAAGTACATTGGGATAAAATAAATGATCCATTATTTAAAAAAAATAAAAGTATAAGCAAAATAATGTGTTTAAGGAACATGAGCCCCAGCAATGAATTTAAGTTTTGTGAAAAGAGCAGGTGATAAGGGCGATTCCTGCCCTCGCTGAGGCGTCACGCAGCCCACGGCCTCCGACAGCTCTGTCCCCTTCCTGTAATCGCTTCCGCAGCAGACGTCGCTTTCCAGCACACACCTGGAAAGGGGGGGTTCACCTCGCTGTGCAGGTGAGCACTCCCACCATTTGCATGGTAAATTCACGAGTCACGGAGGACTGGCGAGAAAGCACTCCCATCATCGTGCCAGGCAGCTACAAAGACGCCATCGATCTCGGGGATGGGGGGGGGGGGGGGCGGATATAGCACTGTCCCACTCTTAGCACGGACCTTCAGCTCACATCCAGTAACAGACACCATAAAGGCGATAGAAAAATCATTCATTTTAACCCAGAAAACAAGCAGCACCCTCCGCAGGTGGGCTGATGAAGCGCAAGGGCAGGGCAGATTTGAGTACAGGTGCTATAAAGAGAGATAAGCACTCACCTGTGACGTTCCTCAGCAGTCCTGTGGGGCGTCTGTTTACGGTACAGCGAGGCTGGAAAATGACGGGAAACAAAGAGAAAAGGCTTTCAGCACTGGGGGGCCGAAGACCCAGGCTGGTGACAGGACCAGAGCGGCACCAGTCAGCGAGTCAGCAGAACTCCAGCTCTGTCTCTGCTCATATTCTCACTCGGCTACATCTCCCCGCTCTCGGCTTGGCGTTCTGTCTGACTCCGTGCCACGGATTCTGAGACTCGCTGGACCGGATCTGTCCCGTCCTGTTTTTTTTTTTTTTTTTTTATCCTTTCAGTGCATGCTTCTGGATTGGTGCCATGGTTCTCCGGCTTGGAGGTCCATCCCGGTCGTGCCGTTCTGCTTGGAGGGGACAGTGGGGGAAGGGTGCAACCGTTTTTTTGCTAGTTGACAAAATTTGGGGATGTTTCCCTGCTGCCCTGATCTCTGGCCTCAAAGTCACAGCTAGGGGTGAAAGACGGGAGGAGGAAGCGAGGGAGGGAGGAAAAGAGAGAGGGAGGAAAAGAGAGAGGGAAAGAGGGGAACGAGGAGATCGATGACCAGAGGCACAGGTGACGAGGGATCTTCAGGGAACCATCACTGGTTCGACCATCAAAATTCAACCCCCCAGGAATTCCCCCTGAACTCCTGAACCAACCCAGATGTCCCAAAAGTCCCAGAAGGCAATTGGTGGAGTCCACAAATCCAGGCCCGCTCCAAACCACGAGCACCTCTGCTCCTCTGCGATGTCTCCCAGACGGCCCGGAGAGCCCCAGCCCAACGCATCGCCCAGGAAGCTCCCTCTCGTCTGTTTACTCTCCCTCTCTCTCCCTTCTTTTCTCTCTCCACCTCTTGTTCCTTTCTTCTCCGTCTCCTTTAGTTTTCTTCTTTTTAAGGCTGGCCCTCAGGATGTGGAAGGTATTTTTTTTTCCATCCCGGAGATGTCTGACCACGTACAGCTGCACCCGCACATGCACATGCACTCATGCGCTCTGCGGGCTTCCAGAAGCAGGTGACAGTGCTGCTGTACATCACATGCCCTGGAGATGTTTGCACAAACTCACAGAAGTGTTTGCCAGCTCCCTGTCTCTCCCTCTGTCTAGTTTAGGTCTTAACTGCTGCTGCAGAATCTTCCGTGACATACTGACCATGGAGTCCCTGTACCTTTCTACCCGCCATGCACCCGAAAAATAAAGCAAGAAAACTACAGGAAATATCTATCTCAGTGCTCGCTAATCTTCTCACAGCTTCTTACGCTTAACCCCAAACTGTTTACCTTGTTAGACATACGAGGCGAGTGAGATTTACCTTCCACGCCCAGAAACAGATCATCTTCAGTGCTGCCGTGTCTCCTGAGGGATTCTGGGAAATGAGAGGTATTATTAACAGTTCCGCCCTGCGCAAACTCCGCAGGGACGCTGACTCGGTCTCTGACAGGTCACCTCCACCTTACCCCCCCACCGCGACGCGGGCTGTGATGGGACACTCGATCCATGCGGAAGACATCACTGGTGGCCATCATTCAAGCGACACCACTTTACATAATATTTGGGTCTGTCGACCTTGACTGCTCAGTGAGCTTCGAGGAGGTGGTGAAGGGCGACCACAAAATATTATTAGTCAGGGAAGAACACAGGCATGGATGCACGTATTCGTGGTGGAGGTGATCAGGGGACCTCTCCTGAGCTTGACTAGTCGCACACCAAATCTTATCAGCCCAGGTTTGCCTCCCATTTATTTTCTTATGTCCTTCTGCCTCCTTTAAACTATTTTCCATCCTATAACCAGACATGCTGCAGGGCTGACGTTACACCCATCAGAAAAAAAAAAACACCTCGTATGTAAACATGAGCCAGAATGTAATTTTACACCACGAGACACGAGGCAACTATCCAGAGCTCCATAACTCATCCAAATGCTTTCTGGGATCGGTTTTTCGGGTCTTAACAATCATTTAGGCCTGATAAAGTTGCGAGCTCCCGCAAATGCGCTAATTAAACTGTCTCCAGAAGCCTGAGCAATCGCAGAACTTCTGAGCCTCCCTTCCCCCCCTCAAAAATGAGCGTTTGTGCTGATTCAGTTTCCTCAGGCTAGAAAATGAACGATAGCAAAAGGGAAACAGAAAGGAGAAGCAAAAGCTGTGGCCTCATCAGCAGGAAGCCGCAGGTTTCCCTCTCTCCCGTCGCGAATGAGGTGCGTCAATCACAACGATCTGGAGAGATCACATGGGTCACACTGCATGAAGCGGTACAGACCATGGGAGCAGGTGAGGCAAATAACAGCTGGTCAATATAAATAAAGGAGAGAACCTGACTCCAAGTGAGGATGTGACTGCAGGGGAGATTCTAGAATTTTTTTTAAGGTGGGGTTATAATTCATACAGAAAAGCCAACCTTATCATTAGCCAATCGTGTTTTGAATCAGTGAATGGCAGGGGAGGGGGCACTCCGAGGGTCAATCAGCTTTCAGTTCCTCTGTACCCACCCCCACCCCCCCGTACATGCCCCTCTGTGTGACCGGCACCCCGCACGTCGTCTTACCTGCAGGGTCCGCGGAGAAGTTGGTCTGGTTGTCAACCCTACAAGGTAAATGACACAGTCGGTGATCTAACATAAACATAACCTCAAGACATCGCCTCCACCCCGTGGCTTAACTTTATACGAGATGCCCTTCCCAGCATGGCTGCCGCAAACAACCCATCACAAACAACGGCCCTACAAGCGGAATCGGGGCAAACTGATAGCACAGACGCATAGCAGCCAATCAATGCTGAGTGGTGTTAAAAGGTCATCGAGGTCAAAGGGAGGTCGAATGGTTAACAGGCCTTCCCAAAAGGGGACGGGCAAGGTCAGAGCACTTAGCATGTCTGAGGAACATCTGCTGCGGCCAGAAACATGAGCGCGGAGACACGGTCGAGCGGCGGCAGAAGCGTAGGCCGAGCACGCTGGCTTCACTCGAGCGTGGCGGCGCCGGCGGACGACAGACCACTGTCCCCTATACTCACTGGTCTCCTGAGATCAGCCACCGGCGAATGCTGTCCTGCTGGGGCTCTCCTGTCAGAAGAGAAGAGAATCCCACCGCTTCATTCCCAGCGAGCACTACGGCATCCCCGAGAACGCCGAGGGCACTTAAGCAGAGCTGACAGCGAGCAGAAACACCGGCTCGGCAAAGACCGGATACGAGCAGGGGCCGTGCCGGATTCAGCGGGCTCGATTCTGTGTTTAACATAGGGGCCCCCCTCCCCGCCCATTCCCACGGCTCTCAGTATGCATAAAGAGTGAGTACTTCTGTGTCAAATTAACCATAACTCTACATTCTCATCGTGGACAGAAAACAGATCCTCTTTCAGACCCACTTTCTCCAGTAATTTCCTAGAAGGTTCTCAAAGGGCGTGAAAATCACTATGATAAGTGTCTATCTTGTTTAAACGAGCCCAGGTACACCCAGGTCAAGTCTTTCTGGGCCAGGCTACCAGACACTGTAGCAATGATGAATTAGTTTTGGGCCTATAGCATCCCACACAAACACAAACATACACATACAGCTGCCTCTGGTTCCATTTGCCACTGCTCCAAACCTCAGAGCCCGAGGGGGTCTGTTCTGGCTGGGACTGAATTGGCATTAAGTCGAGAGATGCTGTTCTGGGAGATGCGGACACTGAGTCAGGTGATGGTCTAGTAGTTAAATGACTACAACCACCCAGAAGATCCAAAGATTTAACTTCCAAGCAGTTAAAACACTACTACTACCCCACACTGTCAGGGACAGACTTGCTAGTCCCAAAGCAAACAACTATTACAATGTTGACTCTAGCCGTTATCTCGGTATTGGTTAAGCCATATGTGTCGCACTACGACAGCTCACCAGTTCTTCTACTTGGCTCTAAATGGTCACATATCCTGCTCCACCGAAGCTTGGAGGCCACCAAGTTGGCCCTCCTGCCGCGTCTGGCGGCCATCGGCACTGGTCCCGCGGATCACACTCCCCCGTCCGTGTACTGGAGCGCTGAAATGGCTGAGGCTCGTCGAGTTTCACCGCGCTCTGGGCGGACAGTTCATCGCCGAGAGGAAGGAGTGAAAGACTGAAGGAGAGCGACAGATAGAGTGAGAGAGAGAGTGTGTGAGAGAGAGAAAAGGGGAATTAGTCGAATTTTGACAGACCGCGGCTCATCCAAGCCTCGGAAACTCATCACTTCCTTCAGACTGTTTCCTGGAGCATGCCTGCCGTTAGCAGCCTGTCAGCTGAAATTCACACCAAGCAACACGGCCTGTGAAACAGCTACAGGGACATTAAAGTTCTAAGGGATGCCTGCTCGCCGCAGCACAGCGGATATGTACATATACACAACCTCAAATACACAGAGCATGCTCCAGACCAGGAGATTTCCTCAGCTTGCTCTAGCTATTCAAAGACGTGCATTTAAAGTATATGAGTGTGTACCTTGTGATGGACTGACACTGGATCTCGGATCGGTGGATGGACTCCACGTCACCACAAATTCAAAAATTCAAATCAGGAATTTAAAAGGATATATAAATGCAAGTTTCCTTTAACATTTACGTTTGGGAATATACAAATCGACGCATCCACAAACCTTTTTCTCACGACCAGTACCGGCACAGAAATAGGGTCCTCACAGCCTTGCCACCCTAATTCCCATGAGAGCTTCCTTTGCTGAGTAATTGTTTTAGATAAGCTGAAATGCATGAACTGCAACAGACCCCAAATTAACCTCTGTGCAAGATAAATGGACAATTCATTGTGTGTATACTATTAACCATCAGTGTTACAATAATTATTAAAATACTTATTATTTTAATATGTCATGAGTCTTATTAGATACATTAATAACGAGAGATTATCTGAATACCAGTGGGTTGCTAAGTGAGCTAGATAGTCTGATGACTAAGTGTTACAAACCGCAAAAACAGTGCCGTGTTCAGTCATCGCCCCCTACAGGTCAGAAACAAATCGACACCCAATGCCAAGACAGAATAAGAGCGTGTGTCTGTGTGACGGACCTGCACCCCGTGTATGGTACTCTGTGCTTACTGGATAGGCGTCAGCCCTATAAGCGATTATGGAGGATGTCATTTCAACACAAAAATATTGTTTTATTGTTGAGTAAACAAGTAATATTAAACAAGTACGAGCAGGGACGGATTATGGGTTGTGTGGGCCCCTGGGCAAAACGTTTGCGCGGGCCCCCCCCCCCCACCACCACCACCACCACCACCAGCACCACCACCACAACCACCACAATTCAAGGGCCCTTGGCAGCCAAACGCCCTCCCTCCATGTTTCCATCAGAGGCCCTATAGGGTCAGGGGCCCTTGTAGGCAGAGGATCAAAGAATGTAGGCCCTCTAAAATAGACAAACGAAAATACATTGTTGATAAGCGTTGCAAATTGTTTTGGGCTAGGGGCCCCATGGGCCCCCTGCACCCCAAGGGCCCCTGGGCAGCGGCCCCGCTGGCCCGGTCCGTAATCCGTTCCTTAGTACGAGTAAACAATGAGGGTGATAATGTCAAATATAAAGCGACATCTAACCACTAAGGTCCCAAGTGCAGCCTGCAGCCCAACCTCAAGATTAAATAAAATTGTGCGAGAGTTAACTATACTTTTCAAAACTATATACTCATTTACAGAAATATATTTGGATTACAGAAGTGCGGCTTCGATCGCTTCGGCATCGACACTCACTCCTTGTTTTTTCAGGTGCATTTACAGTGTTGGGAAAAAAGCGACAGATCATCAAACTAGAGATAACTGACCTCACCTGATTCCAAGATGGTCCATGACCAGGTCGCCCAGACACGGACTAGGCTTTGGAAGTGCATCTCTTTCAGCGGTGTGTCAATCCATGTCTGGATGTACGTTGACACTCCACCATAATTTCACTTTTGTTTGCGTATATATAGGTACTTCTATATATAGAGTCTGACGTTTCGCGACTGTGTTCTGGTTTGAACTTCCTTTTTATACTGGGATAAGTAAAGAGAAAGGCTAATTTGGTTTCACGTACGAAGGGTGCAAAATATGCAAATATATCCCCAGTAAGCTGCAACTATTCCTGGAACTGTAAAGGTGCACGACAAATTCCGTGTTTGCAAACTGATTTTACTGTTCTACAGATAAACTACTCTGTTGCTGTTGGCCCTTTCAGTATTAAATTAACGACTCATAGAATTTGCATATAAACTCGGCGTTTGAACTTCTAGTCGTTTGCCCCCTTGTCTCACGGCAATGTTTTATTCGTCCACTAGGTGTCAGTGGAGTATTAATGCCGATTTCTATAATGTCAGGTCCGCCCATGTCACGTAGATTTGCTCTATTCCTTAATTTGATCCGATCAACTTCAAACGAGTTTGCCCTTGGGTGTAGCCAGTTTCATTTCAAAATACAACATGGATAAGGGTAGTTAGTGCCTTGACTGCCCGCCACACATATTTCCGCTACCTTCCTAAAGGCCGTCCGATGTCGACCTTTGGTCAGACCATAATAATTAGACTTGATCATCCGCGTTTTGTACCATGAAACTTTAAAATTATTAATTAATCACAGCTGCTACATTTTGCACGTTATTATAGCTCATTTTTATGATGACATATATCTTTACATTTCTGCAAGACTTAGGAATTAGGCTACTATCGGCATATAAAGATCAAATAGACAGAACCCCTTTGAGAATAAATATCGGATATGCTGCCATTTCATCAAGTACAGAGAACACCTGTTTCTCCCCCGAGCCACATATTTCTACGTCCTAATCCTGTTATGTCGTAGACTTCCCTATATTTTAATTAATCTCTGAAGTTACCGGGCCATATTTCTATTGGTAGATATATCTCGTAAAGGGATTTGCGATTTCTTAGAATAAATATGCATATGAAGAAAAAATAAAGGGGATTGAACATTTGGGTTTCGGTTTTATTGTCTTAAGTTTCTTGTTAGACCGCAAGCAGCGATCCCAGATCGTATTCGACCGTGGGGAATGCAAATAAGTTCAAACCCGAATTTTCTCCGAAAATAGCTTATTGGTATTGTTTTTAATTTTTTATTAAAACGGGATCTGCCTATCACGATTCAGTATTCGATATGGAAATTAAACATGCAATATGAACAAATAATGCAGGCCGAGAGCAGGAATAAATTAAAACCGAAGCTGAAGTTTTGTGATTTAACTTCATTGTAGGCCTACATAATGTACGGCGTCCGCGTGGCGCATCAGAAAGTGGCGCAGTATTCATTCTATTTTTATACCATTGTTGCTACCCCCAACAAAATAACGGTATTATTATTATTATTATTATTATTATTATTATTATTGATAATAAAGAAAGAAAGAGACAGACAGAAAACAAACAAACGTAAATAAAATCAAAAATCTGTAGAAAACTGTGCCCCTGAGATCGGAGGACAGGTTTTGACTTATATCCTTAGAAGAAACACAGTATTTTTGTAGGTACTTGTATTTTAAACTATTAACAGAAGATGGAATTGAGTGTAAAATGTGAAGGCATATGAAGATCCCAGAGCAGCTTGATTTTGGCGGAACCTTGGTGGGCAAGAGTTAGCGTTTATAATAATTTTGCATCATCATTTCTCGCCATATTTTTACATATATGATATATAGGTATGTAAATTTTTGCTTTTCTACAGTTGGTTTGCCTGTTTAAATTGTATAATTTTTGAATGAATGAATGCCTTTTATTGTCACTATACACATGTATAATGAGATTAAGAGTTTAAGTAAGAGATTTAGAATTTAAATACACACAAGAGTCTGCTTATGTGACTAAAGCAATTATGTTACATATGTTTGTGTATGTTTTTAAAATGTTGCATACTATATTTTTTTCACATAGGTCGACATGTGTTAAGTTACCCCAGAGGCTCATCTGACTGACAAATTTTATACTTGTCTGATTTCACCACTACTTTACGGGCGGTGATTACAGTCGTCTCTTATACCCAAAAGATCAGTCACGGAAGGGTTTAAATCAATGCGAAAGCCGACAGCTCAGAAACTCATAAAGCATCTCATTAGCGCTGCATAGCGATCGGAGCCGCATATGTCGATCCCGGAACACTGCGCTCGCTTGGCTCTGGCATGCGGGCTCCAGCACAGGGTGCTGGTGGGCGGGACGGCGCGGTCAGCGCAGCCAGACTATGAGTAAACGCAAGCCGCCTTCACCGCGCTGACCAGATGGGGCGATCAGATTGGGCGAGAAAAAAGAAAAAAAAAAAACAAGAAATAAATGAGTGAAAAATAGTTGTCATTTCTGAGAATACAAATCATTTGTTATTATCTATCTCGTTATTATTACCGCTTGTATACGCGAGTATACAGTATAATATTCGAGTTCTATAATAATAATAATAATAATAATAATGATAATAATAACACCGCTATTTCTGCTGGTAGTAATTGTATAAAAATACAATAAATATTGTTAAATATTGAGTGATATTATTGTCCTCCGGGCGCTGTTGCTGTTCTTATATCTATGAAAGTATGCCCAGTGTATTGGTATGTCCTTTATCTGTAGCTCCTTAATGTGAAAGGATGGGATAATGCGCGTGCGCGTGTATGTCTCTTTCCGCGTTCCCGTACCTTTCTCGCAGGTACCGATGCGGTATGGTAGGAGGTGCCCCGTTAGCGAAGCGCTCCTGCTGTCACTAGCCATGTTAGCCTGCCTTGCCGTTTGGAAACCAGTCTCCCCTGAAGCCACCCATTCCTGCATGGGTCATTAGCAGAGTCTATCAGCCCCCCCCTCTCCTACACTCCTATTACTGCACAGGGACTCGGCACAAGCACCATAAGCGTGATAGCACCATCGCTGCAGGAGGGCCGTTGCTGTGGGAGTCTTGTTACCGTGGCGCTAGTTGCCTCCGCAGGGGAGAGATATATGGGCGACACTGGGTGAGATAAGATGTGCCGGGTTATGACAGTTAAAAAGCCCAGGGCCCTTAGAAGAGGCACTCAGTGGCACAGAAGTGATGTGACATTTACCCGAGCTGCTGGGGCCAGGCGATGCTCTCACAACGTCGCCGCAGCGTCATTTCCAGTCCTCCTTCCCAATCCAGCTCCCCAAGATCCTCCGACGAGGTCGAGGCGCGGTCGACGGCCGTCCTTAAACGTCGCTCGGCTAGGTCGGACACGTTCGGGTGTAAAGCTGCACCGGTAGCCTTTGTTAGGCGGATGGGGAAAAAAAAGCGGCAGTGAATCGATGCTGGCAGGCAGCCAAGCTGATTCGGGGAATACATCTGACCAGGGGATACTTTAGCACGAGGTGAATAATTACTTTCACGATAGCTGTGGCGCCTTGCCACTTCCCTCTGCTTCTTTTCTAATTTTAAAGCACCAATGTGGTGTTGGCTGCTAACTTCTTTAGCCTCTCCTGAGGACACGAGGATGGCGGAAAGGGGGGCAGGAAGGACTGCTGGGTAATTTCAAGGTCCACACAAAAGCATGAAGAGTTTTCCCCAAGTCCTCCTCAGCACCTGCCTCAGGCTGCGGAGCTCATCTCCACACCTGGGCAGGGGCCCAGTTTGTGCGGTACGATACGGCAGCAGACCTTCCGTCGGCACCGGCACGTTTCACGTGTTAATTAACTCCCGAGGTTGGCGCCTGTGTCGCCTCCGCCTTAATTAGTCCAACTGCTGTGTATTTAACTCCGAATGACCGGAAAGCAAACTGAGGAGCTTTGGGTCGCTAGGCAGATTAAGCGTCCATTTTGGCAACCAGGTGGTCACCAAGCAAAGATATGTTAAATAAGTCTTGACCCTTCATTTGTGATGATTTTATACACGTGTTTAGTTGATGCTTTTTTAAAATTCAGACTGATTTTAATTTATGAATGTCCCAGGATGATGAAGTAACTGCCTGACACAGGAATTGGTGGAGACGAGTTTCAGGTTCAACAGAAGAGAGGCATATGGGAAAACCAATCAGGTATCAGGACTTGGGAAAGGAGGTGTGGGATTGGTCATTAGGGTATGATTACCTGACTCCGCCCCAAACCAGGACATCTGATAGCCTTGGTCTTACAACTAAGAATGTCAAATCAGCTCCATGGACCAAGACAGCTCCCAAAAAGTCGCTTTACTCCCACAAACAACACTCCAAGATTTCTCTTAATAAAACCCATAAATTGTGAATCTCACAGCAACTGTCTGGCACACCCACCACTAACAGCAAATTTCACAAGGCTGAAAGTTACTGGGCCCAAACAGAGCCAACAGGCCTGTGATGCATCTACTGTTCGTGCTGATGTTGTTTCTTCACATTTCGCGAGTTTCTGGCAAGTCTGCAGAGGACATCACAAACTCATACTTATCTTCTTGATACATTCCCAGGATGCCGAGGCGTCATCTGGATCCTAATCATCTGACTATCCGCGCGCCTTAAAATCTTAAAAAAGTTTTTAATGAATTTTTTAATGGGAAAGGAATTGTTGCCCAGCAGATAACTGACTGCCTACAGTCAAATAATGGTGCCCATCAGTCTGGCTACAAAAGCACGCTGTACCACTGAAGCAGCCCTTGTCAAAGTGAGGCAGCACCTGCTCCTGTGACAGCTGATGCCTCTCTGCCTTTGGGGTATAAAATCACAAAGTTCTCTTTCACAGACCAAAAAATCTCATCAGAATAAGCAGACCCTTCCTTTCCCAGTTCACGACTGATGTGTGGAGAAATGCTATAGATTTTGGGCCCCATGAATGCATATAATATTGGGCCCCCCAGTCCAGACCAACCCTGTTATGGCCCTAATTTTTCAGGCCCCCTGTTTCTTAAGAGCGCATTGGAATCCTCCTAACCTTCACCCCTCTATGGCACCCCTGCTTATTCGTCAAAGCAGCTCCTGCTGAGAGATATGACAGAGAAGGTGCTGGGAGACTCTCGGTCCCATCAGCCTCCTCTCTCTGACCTTAACGTGAATCTAGATTTTTCTCTTACTGTTGATGCAGCAATAACAGTCCATGGTGTCGCATTCATTCTCTTAGGTTGAAGAATCAATCAATTAAAAGCAAAATGTTACTCCATCGTTAAACATTTGCCTAAAACGACTTCCTTTCCAAAACAATATCTGCATAATGTAATAAAACCGATCCACGCATTTATAAACTCTGGATTAATTTTTGTCATGCACTGCTGTCTGCCTGCTTGAATGCTTCCCAGAATTCAGCTGCAGAAGTTCTTGCTTAAACAAAATGTGTGAACATTTTAGTCTCCTCTGACTTCCTGACTATGCTGCCTGGCTGGCTGTAAGCTCCAGAGTAGAATCTGAAATACTTCCCAGCTTCAAAGCCCTCAGTCGACTTGCACCGGCAGTTCTGAGTCATCTCCATCTTCCATGGGTTCATTTTCAAGTTTCTCCTTCACCGTACTTTCCTGCAACAAAAAAAAAAAGTTATAAAACAGCAGAATGTGATAATGAAGAGCTTTGGCTTTCCGGAACAAGCCATCAGGTTCTGTACACATTTACTACTTATACTATCTTTGCCATTACTACCTAGTCTATATCTAGACTAGTTGAACACATCGCATGGTGAGTTACTGGGTAGCACTGCACCCTCACACCTCCAAGATTGGGGTTCTCAATCCTGCCCCCAATCTGGGTGCGTGTGGAGTTTGTATGTTCTTCCTCTGTCATTCAAAAGTCAAAATCAAAGAAAACTTTATTGTCTATTACAAAGTAACAGGAATTTCTCTCAGACACGGCTCATACATAACACAACAAGTAACGAAAATACCCAACAAAACAACCAACAAATAAATAATAAAAACAGCCAATAAAAATCAGACGTTCAGTAACAATACTTATTGGTTGGTTATCTCTGGGTGCTCTGGTTTCCCAAAAGACATGCAGACAGCGACCTGGCACCTCAAAACGTCCCATGACGTGAGAAGTCAAAGTCAAAGTTTTTTTTATTGACAGCTTTGCATACGTGATGCAAAATATATACACAGGAGGACTACCATTCTCGACGATCATAGTGCAAAATGAAAAGTAGTAATCAGAAAATAAATATTGAGACATCTAGGGCATAATTTAAACATGACATTTTGTGATGTGGGCATTAAGACATAGAAAAAATAAATACAGGTGAATTTGATTGGCGGGGAAAGAGTGCAAATTTGTCATGGAGCTGGATGAGAATAATGCACAATAAATAAATAGATTTCGCTTCAGAGTTATTGAAGTTATTAATCCAATTCAAATCTTTACTGCTGTCATTGTGCGCATCAGCACAACAAGCTAGCAACTCCCTGAATAATGCAAGCAGAAAGACAAGAAATGTAATATGTAAATAATATGTAAGTAACCAATAACCAAATAGCCAATAATATTAGCCCTTTTAACAGACTGGCCAATAATATTAGCCCTTTTAACAGACTGACCAATAATATTAGCCCTTTTAACAGACTGGCCAATAATATTAGCCTTTTTAACAGACTGACCAATAATATTAGCCCTTTTAACAGACTGGCCAATAATATTAGCCTTTTTAACAGACTGGCCAATAATATTAGCCCTTTTAACAGACTGACCAATAATATTAGCCCTTTTAACAGACTGGCCAATAATATTAGCCTTTTTAACAGACTGGCCAATAATATTAGTCCTTTTAACAGACTGGGAGGGGCCAGAGTGTTCAGGAGTGTATGTGCCCTTTGAATGTCCAGCATCCTGTCCAGGATGTCCCCCCTGTAATGCCTGCAGTAGGCTACCTATAACCCTGCACAGGACACGGGGCTGGCAGCACGTAGAGCCATGGTGTAGCTGAAGGCACTGCGTGGATGAGCGTGTCCCGATTGCGGGTTAACTGCTGCAGGTGTCTGTGGATGAGCGTGTCACGATTGCGGGTTAACTGCTGCAGGTGTCTGTCACATACATGTGTTACTATCCTCCTCTTCTTTCTCAAATTATCCTCATTCCACAGTTTGATTCACCAGGATTTTTCTGCCTGCCATTTAGCTCTGCTTGTGCCTATATCGTCTAACTAGTTTTCAAAAATATATTTCGGCTCATGCCCCTCTGCCTCCCACACGGGGCCATCTGGTACCCAGACACGCGGCTTGCCACAGTATCCAGAGAGAGGATGCATGTGTCAGCCTTCTCCAGTCATCTACATCACCCCCCCAGCTCACAGCAACCGGCTCACCCGACCATATCTGCCAGTCCCCAGACATCACCGTCAATGATCCAGAGACTCACTCCCCATGCCTTATTTTCATCCTTGATTTATCTTGCATCTAAAACAATAATTTAAAAATAGATATTTTCCCAAAAGGCCAAAAGGCTTTTCTCTTTCATCTTCCATTGGGAATTATGGGACGTAAATACTCTTCAATACTTAATCTTCAGGAATCAGGCATATTCAAATTTGATTGACAGACTGGGAATGAATCACAAAACCTCTAGACTGTGCATCTACACCTTTAACCACCTATGAGCTCTAGTACATAATGCCCTGTCCTGCCCCCTACAACCAAACCACTCAATATATAATACATAGCTGTTTCCACACAGGTCTTAAGTGCATTTAATTGTTTATTTGATCATAGTTTGATGAACGGCAGATACCCATAGTCATCTTCAACCATCACTATAAAGTTCATGTTATTTTTGTGGTTCACCCACTTCCCATTGGTTAGGGCAGGGGTGGCCAATCTTATCTGCAAAGGGCCGGTGCGTATGCAGGTTTTTGGGATAACCTGTAGATCAATTGTTTAAACCCAGGTGTGACGACTCTTCAGCCAATCAGTCCTTTAATTTGTAATCTAATTAGGGAGTTGCAGCGAAAACCCACATACACACTGGCCCTTTGCGGATAAGATTGCACACACCTGGGTAAGGGTTTTATAACAAAACGACCCAGATGGGACTTGAACCCACAATCCCCAGCTCCGGAGGCTGATGCCTTATCCATTAGGCCACTGGGTCAACAATCGATTCCAAACGAAATGCAGTTTCACCGATGGAGGGTGTTTCTTTTTGAATTTTATGTCAAACATGTTGAGGCATGTGCAGAAACAAATCATGGCTCCCCCAAGGGACCACAGATGATCCTCTTATGATATTTTAGGCTGTGTCAGTCTCAGTCACCGGGCCATGACACAGACCACAACACCATCTGATTATGCTGCTATCCCCGGCACCCAAATCTGCATAGACACTCATACATACTGAAGATACATATGTCCTCTGCCTGGTTACAGGCTTTCAGTTTCACTATGTTTTTTTTAGGGGCTGTTAAACGCTGGACGCAGTGCTGCTCATGATAAACAAGACAGTCCACCCCGACCCCCCCATTATGTAAATGGCCAACTATGTCCTGTTTGCATACATTAAATACATGCAAATGTTCCATTCCCATGCAAGTTTGTTGAGTTATGGATGCACCATGAAAAAAAAACATTCATTACGTCTTAAAAGTTTCATAATTTTTATATAATTTGGTCAAAACCAAATACCAAAAACAAATTCTTAATAATAAATAGCAAACACTACTCCATCCCCTGGCAAACATGTCTTCCACCTCCTTCCTGTCTCATTCCCTATGGCAGCAGCTTTTCACATACTGATATGATCCAAATGTTTTCCCCCAATCTCTTGTTTTCCAGCCCCAAAAAACAGCTGGAGCGGGTGTTTTCAGCCAGCTACCTATAAAATGGTTTTCCACACCAGTGACGTAATATGATCACTAATCATTTATAAAATTGTTTTTACTTTCTGAAGACAACTTAATTCTTTTTTTGACAGGCACCTAATGTGCAGATTGGTGTATGACTATTGGGGATCAATAATTACTCATCCTAGCCCTAGATGCCAGAGGTAAACAGAACAAGCTAAACGAAAAAGCACACAGCTAGCAGCTTGGCGGTAAAGGCTTTGGACAGCAAAGTTTTGCACTCGAATCACAGTGGGGTCCCACTGTTTTGCCTTCATACCTTTTTGATAAAAATATCCGGCTATATAAACGTGTGACATGAAGAGCTTTCACGGCACTGGCAAACCGACTAAAATAATAAATGCTCTGTAATGCCTACTCCTTAGTAAATAAAATATTTGCCAAGATTTTTTTCCTAAACAATTGTGCTCAGAGTACACAGCCTCCCACACTTGAGAACAAATTTCCATAAAATATTCGTTAAAAACATATAAATAATTCATGTGTCTTTGTTTCGTAGCAGGCCTGAATTCACACCTGGGTACCGTCAATATGCACCTCGGCTATTTTGTTTGTTTGCTTTGGTTATGAGCTCTTTCCCCAGCATCTTCTGTATCCCTGAATATTTTTTTATTATATAAACACAATAACATGCAAAGGCTGGCCAAAGAACTTTAAAGCTTCAAGGAATCACTTTCTTTGGAATCACACTCTGTGTTGGTCTCCGGCTGATTGGACGGTATTAACTGAGCCGCCGAGCTGGTAAACAAAGAGTGGCACAGCCCCCCTATAACAAATGCCCTATAACAACCCCTTAAAGAAACCACAGGAAGCAATCTGATTGGTCCGCAGAGTAGCTACTTCCTGTTGAGCTGCACAACCAGAGTTCCATGTGATACAGGTGTACAGGAAGAGCTTTTATGTAAACTTCAAGATCAGATCCAAGTGCTTCCCCCTTTGGTATGACTGGGGATCTGCTTGGGGGGTCGGAAACAGTGGCCACCTAACTGCCAGTCAGACCAAATCCCACCCCCTTCACCACGGTGATGCCCAATCCTGTGAAGTGGTGAGGCATCCCCAGCACAGCTACTTGAAAGATCAATGAGCACCCCCCATACACAACCAACCCACCCCCCCACCACCCTCACAGCTTCCACTCTTTGAATCTATCACTTTAAAAGTTGATGATATGATAATTAAATCAACACTCATCTGGGAAGGTGTGTGAGAGATGTGAGAGGAGTCTCTCTCTATCTCTCTCTCCATCTCTCTCTTTAGTTGCTTCGCTAGCTCTTTCTACCTTCAGGGCGGACAAATATGGCAGCTACTGGTTGTGGCTGCTCCCCCTCCAACTTGGATGGAAGGTATTTCCAGAGACGGCTGATTAAATTTTTATGTGGGGGGCGAAATGGCAGTGGACCCCTCTCCGGCTCTCTCCCGCGTGATGATTTATTGCCTGAAAAGAGCAGGGAACTAATTAACGTAGTAATTAATTAATATGAATTTGCATATTTGCATTTGCAATTAGTGCAGTCAACTGATTAGTCTGAAATGGGAAGTTTGACTCATCAGATGTTGCTGTGTTCAGTAGACCGGAAAGAACAGAGCCAGCTGAGGCATTTGGGGTGTGGGGGTGGGGGGGGGGTCATCCACCATGGTGTTGTGTGTGTGTGCATCAATATATGTATCCTGTGTCTGTGGTACTGTGCAGTAGTG